AACGGCTGGACTTGGTGATCCTAAAGGTCTTTTCCAACCTAAATGATTCTATGATCCTATGATTCTAATGTACCTCAGCAGGCCGTTGATGTGTTTGCCCTTAAGGTGAGGGAGGATAACAGACCTCTGAATCATACTTCTTGCCTCCCTTCAGCTAAAACATTCCCATTAGTAATGCTGCAACTTTTGTTAAGGCAAACTGTGAATGAGTCATTGATCCCTGCTCACAATATTGTAACATGTAAAGAGTGCTAGACAGGCATTACACATGGGCAGATGGGTACTGTAGGGAAAAGGGTGGTTTTTTTCTTGCACATGTCAAAGGGTACGTTTTATTTTCTTCTGTTGTGGGAGCTGGCACAGATTAAGAGCCTTTTTCACTGGGATCAAAATTCTTCTTTAATTGCTTCTGTGATAATCATAATCTTTCTGCTAACAGGCATTCTTCATAACTGCGGTGAAGCCTACAATATTGGGCTCCTAGAAGCAAAAATATTTTCTGGTCCATCGAGAGAGCAGTTTGGATATGCAGTTCAACAGTTTATAAATGAACAAGGCAAATGGTAAGCAGTTTGAACACCTTGTTATATGTATAGTTAAAAGCTTAAGGAAAAAATGTTGCAACTCAGTTTTCTTTTATAATTCCACATTTTATTTAAATGCATTCCAGTTAATTCCTTTTTATATTAGAGTTATCTTTTTATGAATAAATACTTGCATTATTAAAACAAAGGTTGAAATACTCTAAAGATGTATGCATGTGAAGCTTCAGGCTTTTTTCCGTTACACAATGCAATCTGAGGTCTTTCTCTTAATCTTTTACTTTCATCTCCAATACACCAGTTTCCTCAGACTCACAATTTCTGTAGAATTTTAACTCTCATTTCATTCCTTCGTGTACCAATAGCATCTTTGTTACACATTACATATATGTGGGATATTTTTCCATTTTCACATTGTTGAGGCTAAAACAAATGATTAGGGCTGGGAAGTTCTAATTATTAATATTAAAATGAAGTGAACTTAAATTTATATAATTTTGTGTCTGATGCAGTGTTAAGTGTTCACTTCTCAAAGGACAGCGTATTTGGATGTAATAGTAACACAATCCTAGCAAAGGCCTTGTGTCTGCTGCATCTCTTCAGCCATAAAATTTGATGTGAAATCCACTGTTGCCACAACATTGGGCTTGATGAGTAATTAGTAAAATATTTTTTCTAGTAATGTTGGTTTCAGAAAGAACCAGAGTAAGCCCCCTTAGTGGAAGACACATTGTTTCCTCTTCTGCAGCCTCAGCAACCACAAAGCTTAAGGTGTCTTTCATGGCAAGGACTATATGTCTATAAATAATTCAGTGGCACTCAACTACTTTAAGTGATTATTTGTCTATATATGGCTTTAAGTCTATGGGGGAAAGTCACACGGGTTGTATGTATTATCATAAGCAGAGACATTTTAGATGTGTCATTCTCCATAGATTGAAACAGTGTCAGAACTAAAATAGCCACAAACTGGCATGTTTAATTGATGATGGACGGATAGTAAGTAACTGAACTTTTTTCAGTAAAAAGAAAGTAAGATGTCAAAATCTGAAAGCCATGGAAATGCATATGAAAATGTATTTTACAGTTAAAGTTTGGAAAAGCCCATACAAAAATACTGAGGTAGCTGAAGCATTTATGCATAGCCCTGCGCAGAGATACAGTGCAGTTGCAATTGGTTGCATGTGCAAAGATGTGAGACTACCTAGATGTCACTGCATCTCCAGTGTTGCTGTGTTTACCACCAGTGACCAGGAGGCAAAGCAAGAGGAGAGCAGAGCTGTATCCTCTGAACTAAGAGCTCAGCATTTCCTCTGCCTCTGTTGGGTAGGCTCCCAACTTACACCCACTCCTCGCCTGATGTTGTGGTGTCTTCTCACTGCGTTTCTGCCTGCTTTAATTATGTGTTTAGTCACCCATAGATCAGAGCTCTCTTTTTTTAAAACTTCTGTGTGAAGTCATTGAAAGATAACAAGAATGTCTGCCTGAAGTGAATTGAATGCTTTGGCTCATACATGGAGAAATTATGTCCTGTTTTTTATCCTTCTTGTTAGGTTTTCTACAAGCTTGCAACAGGAATGCTAGGTTCAAGACTCACCCAAGCTATTTATGTTTTATATTTCCCTGTTTTATTTTTAATTCTGATATAAAAACTCCCCCACTACCACTTTCTTGGATAATGTGTGGTGGAGTTTGGGAGAGGAAGTAACTTTGGACTAACATTTCCTGTCTTCTCCCAACTATATGAATAATATGAATCTGGGAAACTTTTATGTAGATAGGCACATCATCATTTGTTCATTCACAGAGTGTCTGACCATAGCTCCAAAAGTCAGGGGAATTTTATCAGCTCTTGTTCTAGTAACCATGACCTGTTAGAGACTCTTCAGTGAAGAAAAGCTCTTTTCAGTCTCCCTCAAGAAATCATTAGACAGGATTAAAAAAAAAGCCATGGTTTACTCTCTTGTTCTCTTCATTGCTAGGCTATTTTGTTTTTCTTGGGACAATAAAGCTTTTTTTTGTGTGCAATATTTAAAAAAAACCCCCACAATACTCAAGCTGTTCAGCAGAGTTGCTTTCTCCTATAAGCAACACACAGGCTGCAGTCCATGTTCAAAGCGCTTGTCGCTATGGCTGAACCAGGAGTGAGATGAACAGTCCGAGCTTTGCGTAAGATCACGGTGCTGCTTTCTGTCAGAGGCGAGCATTTATCACCATATGCTTTTATGAAAAGACCATCGTTGTGCAGCAAGAATGTGATGCACTTGAAAACTCTGTTCAGGCACAGTGGGGCTGCTCACTACATCAAATGCTGCTGGGGTGGCACATCTCTCCAAGGGAGAGGTTATCCAGAATCTGAGATCAACCTGAAATTTCATCACTTCCTAGGCTTTGCTTCTGTTAATGAAATCCCATGGTGCTATATTAAATAAAGCTTTAAAAATCCTCCTGTATACTCTCAAAGAGCAGAAAGGAGAGATACAGAAAAAACAGCAGATGCTAGTTATATTATTCAGCTGTATTTCTGTGAGATACATCTCCTGAGGTAATAAGGGCTATAGAAAATTATAAAAAGAGGAGATTTTTTGTAGAATTGGGACTGCATGTAGCAGTATGTTATCACTTTTGCTTGGAGATGAGTTCAGAGAGAAGAGGGAAGGCAGTCCAACCAGGAGTGCAGGGCTATAGAGGGGGCTGGTACGTGTTGGGAAGCTGTGACACAAACCAGCGAGGGAGCCCTTTTTGTGTAGAGTCAGATGATCCAGGATAATTGGACACTAGTCTGCTGGGCATTCATGGCATGTGGTGCTCGTAAATAAGGACAAACTTGCAAGTCAAGCACAGCTCAAGCTTTTCATGGTGGCTGGTGGGAATTTCAAAACAGGAGCTCTTTAATGAACTCAAGGGAAATTGTGAACATGAAAGAAACTCATCAATTAGGAAAGTTTAGGCAGTCCACCACACAAGTAATTAGCCACAACAGACACATCATTCAGTTTATGCTCTGGTTCTCCCTGTCATGAGATCGTCTGTTTTTGAACCTTAAAGTGAGATCAAATTCTCTGTTATTTTATAAATATAATCTTTTAGAAAGACTGATTGTACCACATCAAGTTTGTCTTGAATGTGCATGCTCTGAACAGCAGCTGATAGTACATTCTGCAAAGATAATAGTACTTACTCCATGATGAGATTTGGGTTTATGTCTGTCTTGGGTGAGGAAGATTGAATAGCTGTGTATAGCTGTTAAAATGCTTTTTCCTACCCATATGTGTCTTCAGCCTGTGGATACAGTCTGCTTATGAGGTACTGCTTGGTATCCAGTTGTAGCCACCCTGCTCAGTTGTGTCTGCGTGCTTAGGATTTGGAATTTTTGAATTTTGTTTTGGAATTTATATTGCGGGATTTTTCTTCTTTAAAATACTTTGTTTCATTCCATATAATGTCAATAATGACACTTCAATATGCACTGCCCTTACTGATGCATCATACAATCATTGCACTACTAAATAGTTCTAAAAATCATTGCATACTGCTCACTAGTCATCAAAGCCCAGCAACCTTTCTCCTGAGGTGGTGTGTTGCCTCTTCAGACCAATAAGTTATTTTGCCAAAAAGACATATTTCTGTAGCAACTTTTGTTGAAATCAATACATTTTTAAAGCCTTTTGATTTTAATGAGGAGGGTAATTTCTGCCAACTTTTTTTTTTTTTTTAACAAAATGCTGCCATTGTTACAGTTCCTTCTTTTCAGTGCCAGCACCACTGCTAATGTTGATTTCTTTGCCCAGCTTTTGCTTCCCCCAACTGCATGCCCTACAGTTTGCCTTTTTCCTTCTTGGAGAAGCAGCCTGGCTTCTGTCTTCTAGACCTTTTGTCAGTCAAACTCTCTTGCCATTGCTCACTGTGGTTTTTGGAGTTTTGAGGCTTTTGTTCAAAGGATTGAAAGTTTTAGGTAGTGACAAAGTGTTTTAGGGTGTGCAGAGAAGCATCTATGAGAGTGAAGTGTTTTCTGGTCTTCATACCTTCATTCATCACTTCCTGTAATTTTAGGGAAAAGGGCCACATGATTTAAGAGGTCCTTTCTACTTTAATTTTCCTATTTCCTATTAGCCATCTTTGTGTTTAAAAAAAAACACACTAAAGAGCAAATGCATGAAAAGAAGAAGAAAAAAAAAAGAAACCAGAAAATATAAAATGTGCTCTGGCAACAGCTGGGAATTCAGCCCTTCGCCATGAATTCTGATATTGTTTTCTGCTACATCACACTTTGCCAGTTACTAGCTTTGTCATGGTGTAATTTCACAGAAATAATTCCTGTTACACTTTGATCTGCCACTCCTGCAGCCTGTGTGGTATGGCATTGCCACTGAACTTTGTTTGACTTCATGTAGTTCTATTGCTTTGTATACAGTGTTGGAGACTGATTAAGGAGCTGAATAATAAAATCAGTGGCAATATTACATGCTAATCACTATAGTATTGTGTAAAGGCAGTCTACAATGACACATAAGGAAGTTTTGTAAAAATAAATATTTAAGTCATGGCTGAAAAAGACCCTTAATTAATACACTATATATGATAGTACTCATTTCTTGCTTTTTTTCCTGATACCTTCTGTTTCACTCTGGTTCATGTGCATCCTGTTTAATCATAGTAGAAAATAATTTTGTGGTTAGCAGGATGCTAGCCAGATACTCTCTTGGTTTCTTCAATTCTGATGCTTCAGAAAGATACACATGCATTTTCCCAGAGTAGTATTGTGTAACTCTCTACTGTAATGGTTTATGTTAATTTTCAAATGCAAGTAGGACCTGCTGATTTCTAATATAGATTAAGGCTAATATTAAGCTTAAGTAAAGCTCAGGGTACAAGAGAAAGAATAACTAAGTTATTTCCTAGGACGTTTAAGGTTGACAATTAAAGGTAGAGGGCTAGGCTTGGCAGAAATTGGTCAATAACTTTTTTTCAGGAGTGTATTGATAGCAGGTTAGACTAGTTAAGTCAAATAAGTGAAGGGGTTTAATAGCTCTGTTCATTTCTGAAAATCACCGTGTTGGTAATAGTCAGTTCTAAGTGTTAAATTCTGTGTATGGAGTGGCATTTTTTGGCCTACAGCATAGTTAACGTCATTGAGATTTGTGGACCCTGCAAATCTACAAGGAGAGCTAATACAGCAGGCGGGGAAGGTAGTCTAATAACTTCCAGTAAAGTATGAGGAGTGCAAGCTAAACGAAGGACAAAATTAAGTTTGCTTTGGGCACAGTTGGCATAGATTTAGATCTGGGTTTAAAATTAGAAGAGTTTGTCTTTTTTGGCTTACATTTTTCTGTTTGTACCATGCAACAGCTACAAGGTTAGTTTATGGGTAGCAAAAGTAAAATACAGTTGTGAATCTTAAGTTCTAGAAGTGAATTGGGTATAAAGAGTGATGATTCCTTGGTATAAATAGATGTTTGGGTTGGAATTAATGTTGAGGTTGGGGAAAATAGGAGTTTCAGAGCCCACGTGACTGCTGAGCAGCATAAAGCCCATGGAGTGAGCACAAATAGGCATGTGCCTATAGGGTGCCTCTAGGGAGAGAATTGCATTTTCTAAACTCTGTGGACGGTGTTTGTCTTTAGTTTATGCCAATAGCAAGGGCGAGGGTTGGAGATAGGCTTGGAATTAGGCTTTGATTTGGGGACAGCTAGCGCTCAAGCATGCTTCTCCTCTTCCACCTCTTGCTCTCACTCTGTTCATGAGTGAAACTATTTGCTTTGGGCTTCAGGATAACCCATGGCTGCAGAGCAATGCTAGTGTGGTGCAGAGATTTACAGCAAGTTTCATGACCAGAGTGGTGCAGGGGTATTTCCGAGATCCGTTAAGGTCATTCTTTGAACAGTAGCTGTCCTCCTGCAGGGACTCTGAAATACATTTGCCTTCTGGGAAACTTAGAAAAAACATGCAAATATTTATAAATGTACACAGTGCAATATTTAGCTTGACAGTTAATGCTGAAAAGCTGTTCCAGTTTCAGATATTGCACATGCAGTGCTGCCATCCTTTTTAAAACTGTTTTGTGTTTCCATGAAAACTGTTAGCCCTTTCTCTCTCCCAGTTAGCATTTTATAACTGTAAATAACTCTGTAGTATCTAACAAGGGGGGAGACTGTAACACCATGTCTTCCTCCTGTTGATCACTATTGACTGGCTCCAGCCCTCTGTGTCACTACAAACGTTTGCAGGTTTTATCATCATTTGGCACATGACCGATGGAGTAGTTTCTCCTGATGTCTGGTTATTTGGTCCTGAGCTATGGTGGTTCTTGTTTTGACTGTACAGAAAAGGCTATATTCCTCAGAAAATAACAAGAGGATCAGAGGCCTCCCTCACAGCCAGTGTAATGTACACTGTTTTTATATGGAGAGGTATTTATATGAACCTGAATTGCAGGTTTAGAGATGCTAAAATTACACAAAATCCTGTTCCTGCTGCCTGTGTAATCACTGTTTTTCAACAGGGTGATTAAGAAGGAGGTAGGTATTTTTAAAATATTTCTACACACAGAAAATAGCATCTGAAGTTACCCCAAACCAAACTGGTAAAACAGAGTAACATTATCTGTGCTCTTAAGTTTGTGTTTAATTGAGATGAAATAAACTAAAAAAATGCAGTTAGCAGTATTTTCTTTGAGAAAGCTAAAAAGGACTCAAGCTCTTGCTTGTGCATCTAAAACTATGTATTTTTATCAAAGCCATTTTATTCAAACTAGTTATAAAATTGCAGTAGTAAAATCAGATGATCCCTGGAAAGTTAATATGATATATAGCAATTGCTTTGAAACAGAATAATTTCATAAAATGTGTTCTTTATGTGCATTAGCTACCTATAAAATTTCAGAGGATGACAATTTTGCTTTTAGCAACCTGTTGACCAACTAAAAAAGATGGTTTCATTTGAAACTCCTTATCCTGTACTGGGGTCCCATTGCTTGTCCTTTTACTGTCCCATAAATGCATTAATTACTACCATAGACTGTTCTGTATGAAAGGAAAGTCATATTGCTACTGGAGCAAATATCCACAGTCCCTGCTTTCTAATAATCTGTTTCATTTTTGCATATCCCTTGAGATCATCTTCCTATGGTCATGTTTTGCCTTACCCTTTTTTCACTGCATGTTAAACTGTATAAAGAATTGTCCTTCTCTTCCAGCCCTACACAGCCCTATACTGTCTGGTGGTTTCACTCTCTCAGACAGTTGCACTGAAAAATACGTGTTCTTAAGCAGTATTCCCAGAGGTTGAATTAACTGGTTTTGTGAAGGCTTTCAGATAAAAATTAAACGGGTCTTGAGGAGCAAATATCAGAGGGGAAACCTTACGGCAGATGAAGGAATGAGTCAGTGAATCACTTTATACTGAAGGCACAACTTATTTTAAGTCTTAACTTTCTTGTTGGGGATTAAATACTTCATGCAGCAGACTGTTGTCACCTGGAGTATTTTCTTTCTGACTCAGTGTTGCCAAGGTGTGGTAGTGTTCAAGCTCAGACATAAGCATTTGACTGTTGCTGAGCAGATCCTGTAGGAAATGCTTCTTATCAGTTAAAAGAATAACTTAAAAGGAATCAGTTAACCATTAACTGACAGGACAATATATTTTGTGTCTCTCAATCCCCAACTTATATATTTCTAAATTGTATGCATCTGTATGTATTAATATCTTTGCTGTATTTCTTCTGACATTATGACATAATGTCACAGAAACAGCAGTACACGTATTTGAGGCAGCCTAATCCCCAGAGGCTTCTCCACCGAAGTCGCCCCTGGTGAATCCAGTGTACTAACATGCAAGTAAAGCTTCTGAACAGCTCTGGAGAGGACTCCTGAGTGCCTTAGGTGCTCTATCTGGTAAAAGCCTCTTTACCTGTTACCTGCGATATGCTATGCCACAGTGCTGCTGGACTTTTCCAGGGTCATTAAAGACCTAATGAAGTTCCTTTTACTTCAGGTTGTTGGTTGGTTCACCCTGGAGTGGCTATCCCTCTAACAGAACTGGAGATATCTACGCATGTCCTGTTGGTATGTCCAAAACCACATGTAAAAAACTGAATTTACAAGGTAAGTTATAACAAATAATGTCTTGCTACAATTGTTCAGGTTTTTTCCTGGTTTTGTACCAGGACAATCTATTTGTGAAAATTGGTGCCTGCCGCTGGAGTCGGGCCGGGTGTGTGGGCGCCCCAGCCTGTGGTGCCAGCTGCCAGAGCCACGGGGGTCTCAGTGTCAGCTGCTGGAGCAATTGGGGTATTTAGCCTCCAGCCATGGGGGCAGGAGTGGTGTGTGTCCCAAAACCGGCTGCTGGGGGGGGTGGAACCTGGGCTCTGTGGCAGTGAGGGGCTCCGCACCGGCAGCTGGAGTGGGACCGCAAGTTGCAGCCCAGGGGGCCTGGTGCGGCCTGCTGGGGGGATGAGTGTCCATATCTTCCCCAAACCAGGCGTGTGTGTCTGTTCACTAGCAAACTTCCAGCTGGATCTTAGGGGGGCCTCAGGTCCAGGTAACAGGCGGGTGGTGGGTCTGTGCTGGTACGCCCAGGGGGACTTGCAGATGTGGAGTGCATGAGAGACAAGTGTATGAGTGGAAATGAAGCCTTTTCTGCCTCTGTGTGTTTGCAAACTAAGCATAAAATGGGATTTACTTTTGGATACAGTGAAAATATCGGGGAGCAGAGTGTGCTGAGATGCCTACTTTATGTTTATTTGTGGTGCGGAGCATTTCTGTCCTCCACTGCTCCTTCCAGGTTTTTTTTTTAAAGCCTGATGCTGGATCGGAGGAGTCTGGTGTCCTGCGGCATGTAACAGTAGCTACATGGCTGCAGCTACTCAGCCAGACAAAAATACTCAATAGGTAGACCATTTCTTCCTCTCTTTTGCTTTCAGCTCTATTCTGGGCAGGTATTCTAAATGGCCATACTTAATTTATGTCTATAGTTAATGGTTAGCAAATTTTTGGCAAAGATCAGCTTTCCTTTCTTTAGTCTCGGAACTGTATGCAGTCATTTGGTAAAGGCATCTTAGCTTCTGAGAAATCAAGCTTTCGAAAAGGAATTCTAACTTACTAAATCGCTTCTACATCTTATTTACTCTTCTTTCATGACTTAATCTCCTTTTATTTCAGCTTTAATAAATATTCCAAATGTGACTGAGATAAAGGAAGACATGAACCTTGGCTTGACTCTGATACAGAACTCAAAAACAGGGGGATTTCTGGTACGTATCAAGGACGTATTCAGTACACACAGAACTTCCTGAGGAGAATGAAGAAACTAGAATTCTCCTCCACATTTTTTGATAAGTCCAAGCTGAATGTATTTTATTCTGCCATAGATTAATACATATTTTGCATATTTTAAAATATTCCATCCCACTGTCATTACCTAGGGTTCAAAATCAGGAAAATTACGAATTCTGTCCTTTGTCATTTATCTAAATATCCTATGAAGGGCACATAATTAAAGATTCTGTAATTTAAGTTAGACAACATAGGCAAGAATATTTCCACAATGGACATCTTTAAGGCAGTCTTGTATAGTTCTGATTATGCTTTCAAAACACAGTATGGGATCTCTCCTCCAACATGTGCACTTGGACAGTGACTGCTCTCCTGAGATGTTAGGATTTCTAGTCCCATGGATCTGCGGTATGTTTTCTTTGGTTAGTGAGCTGCAGGAGGATGCATCTTCTATGTGTATATTCTGCAAACCACTCTCCTTGGAGCTTGTAAAACAGATTGCATAATTGAAAGGAAGTTAACTCCTGTTTAATATGCTTTTTTTTATAGTCTTAACCAAAAGCATGAAAACTGTTGGCAGTGTAGGTGTATTCCAGTTTGATGCATACATTGTAGGCATGTGCAGTAATTAAGTGAAACAAGAAACTACAGACAAAAGAGCTTTGAGACTCATTTTAAGCTTTGTATTTTTCTGTTCCATCTTCCTAGTAATTGCAAAAGTATTCAAACATTTATTATCTTCATTACCACATAGCCCAGTTCATTGACATACTTAAAAGTAGGTCTAATTCCAACCTTTTCAGCAGCTCTCTTCGAGTTTAGTAAAGTTAATCATAACTTCAAATACAGCAACAGTGCTTTTCTTGATTGTTGGCTTGAGAAGATATTGATAAAAAAATCTTATTCTGTCTCTTGGTTAATATCTTTAATTACTGTTAATACTATCTTATGCATACCCACTTTCAATCAGTATCAGTAATTGCAGCGATTTAAAACACCTCATGCAGAAAAATTTGTATTTTCTAATAATACTTGAACTTCTCTCTGTTAAAAAGAATTTCATGATTCATATATTATTGACCGACTCTCCTTAAATTCCATAAAGTAACAAAAAAAAAACCTTGCAAGCTAAGACATGAACAGTTAGCTACGTCTTTGGCAATAGGAGTTCTTTTTGACATAAGGAGAATGGGGTATTGGAGACAGGTGCTTAGCTGTGACTCGGCCTCAACAAATACCAAAAGCCCCATGACTTAGCTGTGGCAAGAGTTGGACAACAAGCAGAGACTGTCTGCTCGTAATTGCAAGCTGCTGCCAGCCAGGACACTGTTTTGAGACACTATCTCTGGCAGCTGGCCTCTGTGATGGGCTTTTTGGGTTTTGCTCATGGCTGCCTCCTCCCAGCTCACTGTACTCCTTCCTCTTGTGGCTGCTTCTCTCTCAGCCTCCATGCACTTGCACCAGCCTGTGCTGTATCCATGGGCTGCTTGGCTGGAGCATGACCCAGCCTGGCATGTCTGTACTGTATCTTGTGAGTCCTGCTGGTTCAGCTGTTTGATGCCATGTGATGGCTTCCTACAGGTACCTTGAGTACAGGGCAGTCATTTCCACATGCTCATTACATTTTTCTGAGGCATGCTTAGTCCTGTTGGAAAGGTGCTTAAGAATTCCACTGATGGTTAACAACTTTTTTCCAGATTTCAGATGTAAGTTACTATCTGTTTGTTCCTGGGGCAGCACTGTGCCTTTAGTTGAAAGGAACAGCTCACATCTCCCTACATGTAAAATCTCCCTTCTATATTTAACACCCCACAATCGTTCTCCTTTGTCCTTTGCTTTGCTAAACAAACACAGAGTTTTTTGGCTGAAATGCAACTTTTTAAAATACACCTCTCTGGAACATGAATGACCAGATCTATGCCGTATTCCACCTAAGTCTTTTCAGGGCTCTATATAGTGTATTTGGTATTTCCGTGTCTCAACTGCAAGTGCACTTCTTGTCATGTATTTCCTTTGGATGCTGGCTGTATGCTTATGGTCACCCTGCAATCAGCCAGTGCCCAGTCCGTCTGCTCCTCTCTCTTCTACTCAGTGGGCTCCCAGTTTATGCCTGCATTTCCTAACATTAGTCCTTAAGGGCAGTCTATGCCCCCTTATAATGTTGCATTTTTCAAGTTCATCAGTTCTTGATATGTGATCGCGCTGTTTTCCCCTGCATTAATGATGAATCTTAAATTTCTGACTCTAACAATGCTAGAACATTAGAGCTTTTCCTTTTTTTTTGTTTTAAAGTGAAGATCAGCAAATTTATTAAAACATTTCTATTTTTTGCTCTAAGATTAACATCACAATTTTGAGTAACCACTAATGCAGAAGAAAACTAGAAAATGGGCAAATGAGATTGATGTAAAAAGGACTTTAAATTAGAAATAAAGGCTAGTAACTCTCCTTCAGCTTCATAGTTACCAATATAGGTGATTTGTTCTGTACCTTCCACCTCTGTAAATATCCATATTTTCCAGTAAAACTAATCGTGCCGCATGTAGCAGCTGAAAAGAGTGCTTATCTCAAGATCAGATAACGTAGATATACTTCCTTTCTCTTGTCTAGAAAATCTGCCATCTTCTCAAGTATGTCAGAATAGTTTGATGTGGTCTACCACTGGTAAACCACTGCGTGATTTAGCTCAATTTCCATTTACTTCTGCCTTTAATTACCTTTTTTTCAATATTCTTGAGAAAAGGGTAATAGTGCTGTTCACTTTGTCTTCTCTTCCTAAATAGAGATGCTGCATTTTCTGTTTTCCAAGCTTTCCTGATTGGATAGGGCAATCAGAAATTATACATGATAAAGCTATCATTTCTTTCAGAACAGATGAACAGAAGTTATGTTTTTTCCTTGAGTTCCTAACGTGATTTTCTTTTAAAAAGAAAATCCTTCCCTCCCAAATATCCTCATGACAAAATTCTGTCTTTTTCATGTAGGTACTTTTGTACCTATCTTTCTAATATCAGAAGTGTGGCTGTCATGCAACCAGCTGGTTGATCTAGCTGAAAATGTTTCTTTTTACAGAGGCCATTTTCAGCAAAGAAGCAAGATTATTTTCCCCAGAAGGCAACAAAACATATAGCCATAGCATATGTGAGGCCAGGGCCAAACTTCCCCTTTTAGTTGCAGCTAAATAGGACAGTGCCTACTGTGAGGCTGCACCCTCACTGGGGATGATGAAGTTTAACTTGTAAATATTTTGGCAAAGTGAATTTCCCTTGGGAACAAGGCTTCTCAAACTAGTTAGTGTGTGTGTGTGTGCACGCGCACTGATCACAAAACTCTTCAGTCTGGTCACCACTGTTGGTGGTAATCGGACGTACCGCAAGAAAAGGTCCTCTCTGCGTTTTTGCAGCGATCTGCATGCTCATGGTTCTGATGCCACCTCCTGGTTAGTGGAAGTACTTCTCCGCACGCTTATAAGCGATGTGCAAACACCAACCCTAGTTTTAAAACAATAATTTGTAGAGCAGGTGGCCTAAAGCAGCACAGATTCCTAGCAGACCAAGTCACTCTCCTTAGATGTTATAACTGTGCATATTCTGGAGAGGCCAGCTTGCAGAAGGAGGCACTAGGATGATCATGAACAGAAAGTACTTTAAATGAGAAAGTCTATGAAAGGGGTTACACTGTCACTGTGATTGCAAGGGATTTGGTCTGATAACCCAGGAGGGCTCCTCTGCTCCTATATACCTATAGTCCTGCTTATTGTGCTTTTATACATGGATAGGGTGAGACAAATATTTGTTGTTTTTATAGTTTCTTTTTGTTGCTGTTTTTAAGACTTGTGGTCCCTTGTGGGCACAGCAGTGTGGAAGCCAATACTACGCAACAGGAGTCTGTTCTGAAATCAGTCCAAGTTTCCAGATCCTAAGAAGCTTTTCTCCTGCTGTTCAAAGTAAGGCAACATGTGCAAAACAGATTCAATTAAAAAACATATCAAACAAAATCAAGGTATGTTGTGTTGGGGACTCTTAATTTGGGATTTTTTTAAAAGAAGTATATGCAAAAACAAAGTCCTGTGATTCACACATAAGGACTGACAAATCGTGATCCAATGCTGATATGAGTATGGACTCACTTCTCTGAATTCAGAAGATTGCACCAGCACAGGCTCAAAATCTGCATATGTTTCTATTGAGTCCTCATTCTGGCAAAACCTTCCTGATCTGAAGTGTTGCCTGTGTACGACCTAAATATGCACCTCTAGATTTAGCCGAAGAGTTATAAGTATATTGAGACTGAAAGTGCTTTTAGTGTCCACTTTTTATTTTTGTTTTAGAGTGTTCCTCTGTCATAGACGTTGTGGTTGTCTGTGATGAGTCAAACAGCATTTATCCCTGGGATGCAGTGCGGGCATTTTTGAAAAAATTTGTACAAGGCTTAGACATAGGCCTTAACAAAACCCAGGTAAGTCAAAGACATCGTTGAGAAAGGCCAACAAAAAAAAACAACCCCAAAAGACAATGGGTTTTATTAGCAATTTTAAAGGAAACCAAATGTGCTTTAGCATAACTACAGTACCTCTTCCAAAGCCACAGATTACACAGTTGTCCTATGTCTTTCAGTATTGGGTTTTTTATCTCACAGCTAACCTATTTCAAAATGAATTAGTAATTTGATTCAAAACATAAACCAACTGAAACAGAAGTCTAGGTTATATCTAGAGGAGTCAGATCTCTTTCATGCATTAGGTGTAAAAGTAATTAAAATATAGTCTGTGGGGATGTGGTAAAAGTAGAACAGATTTTTTTGTGGGCTTTTCTTATGGCTCTTACTTTCCAACTACTGCACCTTTAAAATAGGAGTTTTTCCTGCTTGGTTACTATCTGATCTTTGAGTTCTTTTTTCCTTTTAATTTGATGATGGTAAGGAAAATTTTATTGCCTTTTTTAAAAATATTTTCTGTCTTTACAGTTGTCAATTTTCCATAAATAGTTCTGGGAACAAAGACTGGAGCACTGGAAATCTCTCTCCCAAAGCCTGCCTTCTTCCTTGGGCTACTTTGGAAGTGAGGTCCTTAAAAGCTAGGCTACCTGCTCAGTCCTTTCTGACCTCACCTTTAGCATCTTCTTTTTTTCTTTCATACTAAATGTACATCTTAGTGTATGTCTTTAGCTTCACCTGTATTAAAAATAAATAGGGTTTGCAGTGCTGTCAAGTAACTAACCTTTAGGATTTCCTTAGAAGAGATCAGACTGAGGTGCTGTCAGCTTGTAGAATTTCTGCTATTTTCTCATTTTTCCCAGAGCTCTCTCTATTATTGCTATCCATCAGCTCTTCCAGAAGTAACCAAGCAAATATGTAATGACTATTTCGGATTGTTTGCATTAACATATTGTAGTCCATAATAGATTATATAAGGTGCAAGAGCATTTTAGCTTTCTTTGTTTTCCAAATGTGTTAATATTAATTGCTTTCATATGTGTTGAAAGACAGTTGTAATCCCATGTGCATCTGCAGATCTTTTACTCCAACCTGATAATAAGTAAGCATCATGATTCTGTGTAACTGATTGTAATGCATGGTAATCTAACATAATTTCTTTATTGTATAGGTGGGTTTAATTCAGTACGCTAATGATCCCCGTGTAGTGTTCAACTTGAATACATATCAAACAAAGGATGAGGTTGTTAAAGCAATGGAGGGAACATATCAGAAGGGAGGAGATCTCACTAATACTTTCAAGGCCATTGACAATGCAAGGTAAAATACATGGATGAGTACTGTGCAGCTATTGTTAACTTACCTTACAAGGCAGCGAGCACATCCTGAATTTCATTCCCACTGAGAGTGCACGCACTTGGAGCCTCTGAGGAGGTTTCCAGTGCCAGACAGAATCCTTCAGGTACATTTACAGTGCCCCATGCAGAACAGTACAGGGATATGTAAACTAGACTTGCTGAAAAGCAGTCTTTAACCATTGGGTTGAACTCTACCCTAAAGTAGTTCTGGTACCCAACAGAATTGTTTGGGCTGTCACAGATGTCTAAATATGACAGTGCATCGAATACCATGGACAAGCTTTTAGGAAAGATACAAAACCATTGAAAGAAGTAAAGTTTATCTAGGGATTCAGTGGGACCAGTAGCATTCTTGTTCGCAGGTCAGACTTTGGTTGATTGCAGGGAAAATAAAATCTCTTGTCTCTTTTCAGTTTGTCACTGCAGCACCAGCAGCATGAAAAATAGGAAAAACTTAAAACAATGTGCTATGACTCTGAATACTTATACAAACCAGGTCTGTTTCTCAATAGAAAGATGCTGTTTTGCAGTTGAATAAAGGACAGGACTCTAGGCCAAAATACATGCTGAATCAAATGGCCTTGAAAAATTTTGTTTAGGAACAGACTCAGCCTTCAATGGAATCCATATCTGCAGTAGTATTGAGGAACATATTAATAACTCTTCCCCTTTTGTTTGAACTTGGTGGAGCCAATTCTTGGCTATTCTGGTGTTACAAAACTTAATAGTTCTGACAAAAAAAACCTTTTTATTTAGAAATATTTGTACAAAAAAAATATTACTTTCCCTGGAATGTACATTTCTATCAGAAATACCATCCAGTCCTACTTGGTTTTTTTTAAAATTCCTTGATTACATTTCTGATGGCTCTTTGAGCAGTGCTTTGAGAAGAAGCTATCAGGAGCATAACTGAAAATTCTTATTGAAGATCGTTATTTTACAAATAAAAAAGCACTGCAGATGCACCTTGTTCTAAGTCAGTGATAGACATCCATTACACTATACGTACCAAATTCCATCCATTATAAATTGACATGTGATAAATCCAATATTTTATAACAGACAGTATGCCTTCTCACCTGAATCGGGAGGACGTCCAACAGCCACAAAAGTAATGGTTGTTGTGACGGATGGTGAATCACATGATGGCTCCAACTTGAAAACAGTGATAGGTAAATGCAATGAAGACAATATAACCAGATTTGGCATTGCCGTAAGTAATACTATAATTATATATATTGTTGCAATTTTTGAAAGATCATTTTGGTGTGTATGTCTGAAAGTGCATGTTCTATACTTAAGCTGTATATAATGCATGCATTGTTACACTGGTGATACTGAAACTAGGTGAAATTAATGTTTATGAGTTAGCGAAATATTGGTCATCTTTAACTGGCTGAAAAAGCAAAACCAGTATTACCTGAGCAACTTCCATGGTTGTCTCCTTTGCTTTGGTTTATGTATTTTTCCTGTCTGAATGGTGCCTTGAATAGGAATACAGTCTGATAAGCAATTCAGTAATATGAATGAAGGTAATTTTTTTTAATATGTAGAATATTTACTCAAATAATACAGAATGAAATGGAGTAACACTATGATTTCCTTCACTCTTCTTATTGTGTTCTTTTTTACCCAAGGTTTTGGGATACTTAATCAGGCATGAACTTGATACTAAAAACTTAATTAAAGAAATCAAGGGAATTGCTAGTCATCCAACAGACAAGTATTTCTTTAATGTGTCATCTGAAGCTGCACTACTGGAAGAAGCAGGAACACTTGGAGAGCGCATTTTTAGTATAGAAGGTAAAATACTTACTGTCTCTGAAAAATTAGATCAGATTCTTCCAGCTGATAAGGTAAGGATTTTATTTACTTTCACCTTAGTGTAGTACTGTGAAAATGAGGGGCAGCTGAAACTGTGAGCTGTTCCCTGCTCCCCAGGAGGGCTCTGGTTTGCACAGGTGTTCCCCCAGCTACCCCACCCCTAATGAGCCTGAGCTTCAAGTTAGTTTCTGCAGTTTGTGGGAAATATTCCCTAATTTCTGAAGTTTTCAGTCAAATTATGGGCTTCAGATATCCACTGGCGGCTTGTCCATATGCATCCAAATACATTCAGAGCTATTACCACTGGAGGAGTAAAGGTATCTTTATGCTTGTCAGATTCACCTGTGTGAACACTAAACAAGTGTAAATTTATAAAGCAAATCAGAAGACTAGGTTACTGATAACAGAACTGAAATGCTACAGTAATGCAATCTTTGTGGTGGGCACCTACCAGGTTCCATCCCTAGCATCACCCACAGTACTCTGTCTACTGTTTGGAGGAAGGTGCTGTATAGGTGATACAGAGACTCTTCTCCCCCAGAAGCCAGCTTTTTAAAGTCAAATTTAGACCTTGCTTGGGAGGCTTATGACCTGCCCTTAGCCCTCCCTAAAGAGCTTTTCATGGCAGCAGCCTTCCTGTGCTCAGGATGAAATCTTCCCTTCTCTTTGACCTCCATCTGTTCCTTACCAGGCCCATGCTGCTAATCAAGTCAAGGGATCAGTTGAGCTCCCTGTATTGGGTTTTGCTGAGTACTCCCATTGAATTCTCATTAATCGAGTCCCACCCATCTAGCTTAGGAAATACTCCTGGACATCACAGTATTTTTCAAGACAATTACAACAGGTTTTTTACAAGTCCTATATGACAATAAACATTCATATTCTGTTCGAAAGTTGTGAATGTACAGTTATGAAAGCTGCTAATTTCAGTGTATTATTAGTGCTTCCTAGGAAACATAAAAAGAGTTTAGCCACAGTGACAAGACTGTGCAGACTGATTCAAGCCATCTTTATCATCATCTTCTGCCTTTTTTTTTGGAAGAGACTCATAGGATCGTGGCTTCATCTTATCAACTTGCCATTAAATCCTCCAAATATTTTACAGTTTATGAGATCTTAGATTTCCGTTGTTTGTAAATGTTGGAAATGCTCTAAGAGAATTGGTGGGTTTGGAAAAAATAACATACAATCCCTATATAGCTACACTCAGAGGCAGTAAGATGGGATCTCTTGTGTGGTTCTATAGTGTCAACCGTATGTGAATTTTTTTTTTTTTTTTTTACCAGGTACAGATCAAGGTGATACATTCCAAATGGAAATGTCACAGGTGGGCTTCAGTGCATATTACTCACAAAAAAAGGTATGTGAATTTAATTATTTAATGATACAAATAGATGTAATTACATAGATATGAATGTTTAGAAGTGCAACAAAATAAGACTAATAAAACAAAATGACCAATTTTAAGATTTTTTTACAAGCAGGAGTATGTCAAATTATCTTCTTTTTTTTTTTACTTGAATGCCACAAAAATCACTTCTAATAGATGGTGTATATCTCTAAAATGAAAAAATATACATCAATATGTGAAGTTACGTGAGTAACTGTTTCTTTCATGTAATGATTTTGAGATGTGTTAATCCAATGATTTCAGTGATTTCTGAATTCACATAGCATGAAAAATTCAATTGCTCCAAGTTAATATTTTGCAGTTGAATAACTCAGAAGAATTGAAACCATACTGTAAAGCTGGTATATTTCTAGGCAGTCAGCAAGATATAAATAAATGAAGTCTGAAAAGAATTTATCTAACATTTATAAAGTTAATAATATTTATTTAAAGCATATTTCACTCTAGAAATCAGAAATAATAATAAATCAGATACATTTTTCATGCTAATGAATTTTAAGATTATCTTGACCAAATACGTTCTCTTTGTAAAATTCAAGTGTGGTTCAAGCAGCTTTCAACTGAGAATACAGGGAGGTTTTTTCCTTCTCATAGCCCTTAAAGGTGAATGAAATAATTTTTTTAAAAGTCCTCTGTATTTGCACAAATTGAAGTTTTAATTTACCAAGCACTTGGTGCTAGGAAATGGCAAAAATTAAGGAAGATTTGGGGATTTCTTCAGGAAAATTACACATCCTATTTTTATTGCAGTTTTCTGTAATGGTATCTCAGTTCAGTGAAGAATTTTAATGTGAATAATCTAAACTATGTTTGTTTTCTGTGTACAATTATAAGATGAAGAAGTATTTTTGTATTAAATATTCTGTATAATAAGCCATATTAATTTGGATTTTAGATTTAACTGTTCTCTTAAGGGCATCTCCCTAGTTAAAGAATGAAATTTTGAATCTTTTTCCATCAGCTTCTGTGTGCTGTCATGGCACTTCTGTTGTCAAAAAGGGGGCTTTAGCTTTTTCTTAACAGTTTTGTTTGTGTGATCTTCAGTCTTCTGAGGATCATGAGTGCATAAAAGCATAGACTTGGCAAGCCCAACCCCAGGGTGGACAGGCTTAGGAAAGTATCACAGTGTTTAAATAAAGCCATTTTATCTTGAGTTGCAGTGCCATGGGAGCTAAAGCAGTCACTTATCCTCTTGCAGTAGAGGGTGACAGTTCCTCTTAATAGGGCAGTAAAGTCCTGCATGTAAGTGGTAACTATAAGCAGCTCCAGTCAACTGCTTGCAGTCATTAGACTGTGCATCAGTGCCTTAAACACAGTGATGTAGGAAATACGTATACTAACTTCAGCTTCCCCTCACACTTTTTCTAAAATAGGTAGCTCTAAAATACTGATTTTTATTTTTTTAAAGGATATTCTGCTGCTGGGTGCTGTTGGGGCCTATGACTGGAGTGGAACAGTAGTTCAGGAGTCTTCAGACAGAGTCACCACCTTTCCAAGCCATGTATTTGAGAAGATTTTACAGGACAGAAACCATAGCTCTTATCTAGGTAAGGGCTGAAATACAAATCTGGAAATGTATCAAACCTTTGTTAAGATATTAAAGAACTTGGAAAATTCTGCTCTAGCCAGACTCCTGTTAAGAATGGATTTGAGAATATGAAAAGAATTATGCATCCAAAAAGATTTTATTTACTGGTTAACAGTTGGAATGGAATGAAATCCTTATTGTGGTTTTAAAATTCTACTCATATCAATGTGTTAAGCTGGAAAAAAATCAGGCTATGTCACAGAGACATAAGAAATCATGAGGTTTGAAAAGGCTGCTTAATGTATCATACTGATCATTATGGGTACCTTTTCTTTTAAAATTTGCACATACTTCCCCAATTACATGTGGATGAGAAGCTGATTGACTTGCTATCGTTCCATCTGTGCTTGCTCTTTCCTTGGCCTTTCCCAGTTCAGTTTATAGTTTTAGAAATATTGCTGCAGTTTAACAGAGTTCTTATTTATAACCCACATATGTTTTCTGGTGCATGTTTTTGTGACCAACTAGACCCAGTCAGTTTGTATTCTCAGTTCATTTAAATGTTTTCTGCAAAGCTACAACATGCCTGCTCTGGCGATTCATCCCTGAATAATGCTCCTACATTAAGCACCTATGACTTTCTTATCCTTGAAGTTATTTAATGCAATGCTAGTTTTGCAACTCACGTGCTCTTTTCCCTACGGCTTAGCATTACTTGCATCCAACACAATGAATAAACTAAACCTAACGTAATGACCAGTAGCTCTTTTGCATGTGTGACCTCTTCAGACTTTCTATTCCTCCCTTTTCTAGAATAATTCTTAAAAGGTCAGGTCATTCCCTTTCAGCTCTTCTCCACAAGGCACTTTTAGAGTATTGGCCTTAATCTTTTTGGAGCCAACAATGTTGTAGCATTTTCTGTCCTTTCATTTCCCTTCTACTTCCTTCTGTCCCACACTAAGACCTCTCTGTACCAGCTCGCTCTCACCAGCTAAGGGCTGCTAGTACATCACAGCTCACTAGATTGGCCTCCATTCTGCACTGCACCCTCTCACTTCAAATGGCTGTATGCTGTATTAATTAGGAACGTGTGGCCTTAACTTGCAGGATAAAATTTAGTTTTGTTGTTGCTTGTTGAACTTCTAGTGTCCAATGATGTTCTCTCCCTAGAAAAACAGTGTCCGAATCCAAATCTGAATTAGGCTGGTATATGTAATGACCAAGGTGTAATCCATTTAGGCTGTGCTCCTCACATTGTCCTGTAGCTTGCTAAAGCTGCATATTCTGCCCAATCACTGGATTTTGTTGTTCAGTTTAACTGTAGTCTTTATAAAGGATGATTTTGTTTTCTTCTGTTAAAATAAATTTGCTTAATTAAACCACAGAAATGTAAAATATGTACTAATGCTAGATTTGTAGTGCTAATACATGTTTAAAATATTTGCAGGTATTAAAAGATGTTTCCTGAAAGCAAATAATGTTAGAATAATGGGAATGAGGATTAAAATATTCAAAGAAGTTCAATCAACCTAAGCCCTTCAGCTGACAAGCTATTAATACAGCCTGTTCTATTCAGCCAAAGCACTGGGCTGTGGTTTGGTGAGCTGTGGGAAAATGCACTGCAAGCTTTGCAGAAGCTAGGTGTTCCTCCCTAATTTGAAGGCTGGCCCAAATGTTCACCTCATGTTTCTCTTTATTTCTTCATTCCAAAGATATTCTTTGCACTCTTTTTCGTATCTCCTTCACAAGCATGACATTTTTGTGGTCTATGTTTTACCGAACAGGCTAAAAACTATTGTCCATGCTATCCTGCAAACTTGCTTCAACTTGATCTGTGTGTCATTGTTCTCTCCAGAAGACTATTGCAGATTTTACACATATGTGACAGCTTAACTTCCTGTCTGGAAGCATCATTCTCTGCAAATAACATACCAGATTGACTCATCCTCTGTGCTTTATGGATAACCGACTGACAACTTGTAGTTAATGGCTTCTCACACATGTTAAATGTTGGCTTCTCTCCCCAGGTTATTCTGTTGCCGTTCTCTCAACTCAGAACTCTGTCTATTTTGTTGCTGGCGCACCAAGATCCAACTACACTGGCAGAGTAGTAGTTTATGATGTTGACAGCAATGGTAATATTGCAATTGTGCAGTCCCAGAGAGGCGAGCAGGCAAGTATATTTTGGTCATGAATGCAGATTTTGCAGGCATCTGTTTTTATTGACACAGCAGTAAATTGCAATGCATTTGTTCTGAAAATTCCTCTTTCTTCCAATGCATTTAAAATCCACTTGAACTTTTCTCTGCCACTAGACTATTTCAGTGAGGTTAACTGAACTCTTAAACAGTATTTTAAGAAGTCATCCAATTAGTGGTAAAAGATAATATACAAAACTACTTAATGTATTATTCTGTCAACACCTCTAATTGGGAGAGACTCAGTGAGCTCCACTCTTCCTGAGAAGTTGTGAAGTAGATGACATCAAAAGAGAGATTTGGAAGCTCATTCTCTTTTTCTCCATTTGGAAAAGAGCAATGAGTTTAGATGGGTTTGGTTTTGTCTGTTAGACAGACAGATCTGAGAGTAAATGAGAGATTGGGTAGTTTCATGTGCACAGTGTAATATAAAAAAATATACCTCCCATAGTTTATTCTCTGATTGCATTCTTACTGGTGAGTGATAAAGCTATAGCAGCAGCTACTCGGCAGAAGCAGTGGACACATGGTAAGGATATGATTCTTCAAACACTGGAGTATGTTATATAGTAATTTCATTCCAACAGGCAGTTTCATTCATTAGTATTGGACTGTTTCTGGGTGTAATTTTTCTGAGTCAGGTGCTAAAACATTACGCTTTACAAAATCCATTTACAAACATGACTCTCTTACTACTGGTTTCAGATTGGCTCCTACTTTGGCAGTGTGGTGTGTTCAGTGGATGTTAACAGGGATTCTGTGACAGATGTTCTGCTTGTGGGTGCACCAATGTTTATGAATGACCTGAAGAAAGAGGAAGGAAGAGTATACATGTTTTCCATCACAAAGGTAAGAATGGCACCGTAGCAAAGCTGGAATCAGCTTCCTGCCTCTTCGTGATAAGTGCTGATATTTTCACTTGCAGCTGGAGGGATTTACTGTTGTTCCCTGCACTACTGTTTTACCAAGGAAAAAGCAGTCCAAACTGCAGTAGTACTTAGTGGCAGTGTCTGTTCTGTTAAATCAGGGAGTGATCAGAAGAGTGGTGCCTAGCCCCACAGCCAGACTCGCACAAGCCGGCACTGCTTTGGGCAAGCTTCTTTCAAAGCAGACTGGCCACATGCATGCTAAAAAGCCTTTGGCCCTGGATCTCTTCAGGGCGTCTAAGACACTATTTAGTGTATCTTGTTCAAAGTGTTAGAAATATTGCAAGTGGTGTTTTTGTAATGAGAAACGGAGCATGTCCTTTTCCCAGGGTGTGGCATAAGGGCAGGGGTAAATAGTGCCAAATCTGCCTGGTTAGAGGACTGTGGACAGAGCCCTTCCCAGTGCAATCTTGCCCATTCTGCTTTTCAGGAGCAGCCACAAACTTTCCCCAGAACTGCTTGTGAATGTAATATGGGAATAAAGCCAGCTGGAACAGACCAATATGGAGTCAATAAGCAAGTTAGTCGCTAAGCACTATTGGTGACTAGGGGCATGCTGCTCTAGGTGGCTCCCTGGTCCTGGTTCTAGGCATCGCGCTAGGCAATGTACACAAATATAACAGAAGGTTGACCATTTTACTGAAAAACTTAGCTCAAGGCTTTTGCTAATTTATTGTTTCTGATTTGATTTTGGCAAATCCATTCAACACCTAACAGTATTCCCAAAACAGTTCTAATAAATGCTCTTCTGCAGTTTTTTGCATTGTTTTGTAGACTTTCACACTAGATGGTTGCTATTACTCATGTTGTCTCCTTTGTTCAGTGAAGCTATGTTATTTGTCCAATTCTTGACTGTGTTTTTCATTCAGACCTGTAGTCGGTGGTTTCAGAATATCTATGTTAACAGTTCTGAAGCCTCTGGCACTTTTGAACAGTCTCTCAATCAATCAGTGGCTGTCTGGATATGCAAAGTAAATTAATACCTACTGTCCATCAGAGAAAACAGAACATGGTCTTTTCACTAGGTAAATTGCAATCAAATAAATAGAGAGGAAGGAACATCCATCCTCTTCGGTGGCTGCTCACAGTCATCATCCTGGAGCAACAGGAAACTGTACCCTAAGGCAATTTCAAGGTAGATGGAGGTGCTGGAAGTGGTACTGCTGGCAGCTGACATTGGCCTTTGTTACTGTGGAATTAGACACAAAATATGGAAGAAAAGAAAAATGAAAGGATTTTTTTTCATGTTTTGAAAACTGAATAAATTGGAAGACCATCCTTACAACCTTTAGTCTTTGTCAAATGTTAGGTTTAAAATTATTAAAAAGTTAAGAATAATGAAAGGCTGATTTAATTTTTTTTTTAAGAATCTGAATTTGTGCAACTTGTCCATGTTGCACAAATAATACTTTTCTGGTGATTTTTAATAAATAACTTGGCTGGTATTTCTAAAATTTTAAGCACGGTGTGATAACTGAGGTTAAAGATGAGAACGATACTTGCCAGAGAGTTGAATTTAAGCTAGTGTAAATGTGATCATTTAACTATAAAGATCTCCAATCTTTCTTTCTTCATTGGCACTGGAGAGGTCAGGAGTTTAGCATTTGGACACATGTTTTTTGCATTAGTTTAGTTAGGAAATTCCATTTCTGTTTCAAAGAATTATGTCCAGTTACATAATTTCCATTCCCTCTGCATAAAAACTGGTAATCCAAAACTGGAAACTGTATTTTTCAATGTATTGTGAAACTTTCAGAACAGTCAGATGAGGACAGTGAGAGCATTTCAGCTTCATACATATGTTATATTTGCTGTTAGTGCTTTGCATAGTATGCTTTGATTTTGCTGTGTAATGCTTGCCAAGACTCTAAGACATAATGCAAACTGAATGGGCAATACAATAGGGAAGGAATTCAGGGTTGAGCAGTCCAAGGGGAATGTACTGGAAAACAGAAACAAAAAACAATGCACATAGATACTGCTCCTAAGTGTAGTCTGGTGCAACGATAACGATGGTTTTGCTTTTTCTTCTTTTTGCTTTTTAAAAGGGAATTTTGGATCAACAAGAACTCTTGGAAGGTCCACAGGGGTCAGAAAATGCTCGCTTTGGATCAGCAATCGCAACACTTGCAGACATTGATTTGGATGGCTTTAATGATGTTATAATAGGTGCACCACTGGAAAACCAAAACTCTGGAGCAATTTACATTTACAATGGATTTCAAAAGACTATACGTACCAAATATTCTCAGGTAAATAACTTTGTTGCATAATGCTGTACTCAGTGCCTTTAGATCAGCTAGAGGAAAACAGAAAGATTTTCTATCTTTTAATTGGCTACTGTTTCATCCTCTTAAAGGAGTACTGTTATTCTCATGGCTTATTTCAAGTTTTGTGCCTCTCCTTATTTCAACTGTCACCATACCCTGGCTGATGTTGTAGTGCTTATAACTGAAGTATATAGATGAAAAGGACTTACAAGATGCTCTGTCTGAGCCTCTCAGAATTTTTGGTGCCTGCATATGAAGTCATTTCCTATGCATTTTTTTACACACATTATTCAGGTTTTTAGCACTGATGTACAGCAATGAAGATTAGATAAATCACAGCTCTGTAAATTATAAATAAGTAGTATTAAAGGAAAAGACTTTCAAAGGAAAAGTCTTTGCATATCCTATATGCTAACATAATGGCAATTTTAACGTCACTTTCCATGCAGACTTTCTGGTTGTAGAAAGTATTTGTTAGAAGTCCTGTTAAGTTTCCTATTCTTTGAGTTGCTCAATATGAGATGGAAAAAGTTTCCAGTAAGTACTAGCTGCCATACAGCATTCAGTTTGTGGATCTACTCCCAAGGCAGAAAAATCTAGTCCATTGTCTGCCCGAACAGGGAACGAAGAAGTGCTTAAAAGCATCTGAGATAACATCCACAAAAGCAATTTGTTTAAACAATGCCTTGCATATACAGGGAGCATCAGTGAAAATCTATTGCTTAGGCTGCTATATACAGACTTAAGCACGCTTGTGGCAAACTCAATAACCAAACTCTCTTTCCCAGAAAATTTTAGGATCAGATTCTGCTTTTGGACAACGGTTCCAGTTCTTTGGAAGATCAGTAGATGGCCACAGAGACTTAGATGATGATGACATTACTGATGTATCAGTTGGTGCTGATGGAAATGTGGTTCTGCTATGGTTGGTAAACTCTTTCAGAAAGGAAGCACTTAATGATTCAGATGCAAGTTGAGCATTTAGTTAATTAAACATTAAAACAAACAAACCAAAAAGCTCTTTCGTTCCATGTGTTCAGAGCTAACACACTTATTGCCTCATTGCTGCTATCGTAGCTAGCTGAAAAACAGCATTAGACTAAACCTCTTTTAAGCATGTATCATCAAACCGTCAAAAGCCAAGGCAGCATGGGGGGCAGAGTCAGGGCATGCAGGGGGAAGCCAGGTGGTGGGGGCTGCCAGGAGAGACTTGGGCAGGGATGGGGAAGGCCAGGAGACACCCCTGCCTGCTGCTGCTGTGGTCCAGAAGGAATGGGCAGCAGCAGGGAATGGGCCTTGCTTGAGAGTATTTGTAACAGCAGGTTGTACAGCAGTAGCCGCAGTATAATTTTGGTAGCTGAGCTTGAGGCAGATGAAACCACTTCCCACACAACCTGCGTGACCTTTACTGACCAGTAGGCTGATATGGGAGAGAGAGTTGTCCTGCAGGGTAAGGACAGAGAGCACCAGAGAGTTGGCACTTATTTCTGGCAAGAAACACATCTTTTCTGGCATATGGCCTTTGCCAGAGCAATCTGAGTACTTTCACAAAATAAAGAAGAAAGGCTTCACAGAACCCAAATCTTCTGCCTCCCTAAGTACTGTTCACTTTCCACTACTTGCTTGAGGAGCTAAATTAAAATGCAGCTTGCTTTCCTATCTGTCGCCTGTCTTCTCGCCTGAGGCTCCCCATTGTATGAAGAACAGCATCACTGAATTGCTACTTATTTCATAATGAAACAAGATTATTAAAAATGAATGGTCACTTTGGACCTTTGACCCACAATAGAACTGCTGCTGGTGCTGGCAGGAATTTCATTAAAGAAAATTATGCTCCTTGGAGTACCAGAATTTATTTAGATTTGATTAATGAAGATGCTCATTCTTCTTTCACTCTGGCATTTGGTCTGATTAATGAGTTTCACTTTTGATTAAAGTGTTTGTTTTTACATGCAGGGTTCCTTTGAAACTTCTTCAAACTCTTGATTAATTACATGAAAGTTGTTTTTCTGAAAAATAAGATTGTTAATTAAAATGAAGAATTACCTTTCTTCGCCTTCCCAGAGGAGCTCAGTAACTTGGCTAAATGAGCAGAAGAAGGTTACTTATTGGGAAAACAGGACAAGGGCTTCATTCTCTGTTATCTTAAGGGAAGGATTAGAGCATTAGTATAAAGACATTGATTACCTATTAATTCGACATGATAAATTATTGTCATTACTGAAAGCTATTGTATCAACAAATTCACTTATATGCAAAGAAAAATAATTTTACCAGTGCCATTAAAAAATGTTTACATTGGGAACCAAAAAATCAATGTTACATTTACAGATAGTAATAGACAACAGCTTCTACATTATCCAGTGCTCTTGAAAATCACATGTAACCTTTTAAAAATATTTTTCAGGTCACGAAGCATTGCAAATGTGTCCATAATTGCCTCATTTAAACCTGAGAAAATAAGTCTGCTGAACAAGAACACAGAAATAACTGTCAAAATATGTTTTCAGGCTACATTTAGACCTGCTAAGAGAAATAATCAAGTGGGTAAGAGTATTTCAATGACTTGTCTTATATTAATTTCTTCAGAAGTCCATTATTAAAATGAGTAGTGGAAATTCTAAAGATATATTAGATTGAACGTCAAGAAAGGCAAAATCAGTATAAAACTTAAGTACTTGAGAAAGTGTTAAGACTTACTTTCATCACTGGCTCCATAATCTTTGAAAAGTGAGGAATTAACAGTATAAAGGAGAGCTGTATCCTTGCTGTTCAACAAATCCCATAAAATGTCATTACTGAGAAGCTGATTCTTTTCAATCTGCTGATCTCAACAGCAGACTGCAGACTTTTGTTCTCTTTTCAGAAAAAAAAGTAAAATAAAATAGAATTTTCATAGGCTCAGTGCAGATGTCAGTGAGAGAAGTTCTTCTTTCCAGAGGACAGGAGAGCACCAAATATTTCAGAGACCAGTACTGGCCTCTCATGAAGCTATTTAATTAAACATCATGGATAACACCAGTTGGATTGCTTCAGTGCTATGTATAGTGCCTTTAGGAACTCATGATTGTGAGCTATAAAATAACAGTGAACTTCCACAGTGTATTAGTCATAATATGAAGAGGACAGAAATTATTATGTGATTGAAGAGAAGATGCAGATTCTTTATAGTGTCCTCAGAGTTCAGGGATATTGTTGCAAGGCCCCTTTATCTAGCATAATCCTGGCCCTGCTGACTGGCTTCTTGCCTGAGCTGCAGGCTCAGACATCTGCAGTGGAGACTGGATTGATGGCCATTTAATGTGCTCTCTGCGGATGAGAATTTACGTCAGGATTTAAACCTGTTTGACTGCTTTGAAAAACAGAAGAGAATCTTTTTTCATTTTGAGACTGCTCTGTGTTTAGCAAGCTACAAACAAAGTAAAATATTTAGTGTGGTTTGGAAAGCGTGGTCACCCCGTAATGTTGAGTGTAGTAATGAGATCATGGGCAGTCATACTCAGCAAAAAATGTACTGTTATTCTTCTTGTAGCTATAAAGTACAATGCAACATTGGATGCAGATCTCCAGTCCTCTAGAGTGACTTCTAGAGGATTGTTCAAAGAAAATAATGAAAGGTACATGCAGAGGGATCTTGTGGTACGTCATGAGGAGAATTGTGTTCATGACGTCTTCAGTGTACAGGTAAGTGCAATTGCAAGCAATCTGGTGTGACAAAAATGATGAGACAACGATGTTGATGGATTTTATGTCTGTAAGATGAATTTCATGCATGGTGTACTCAATGATTCACGTTTCTCAAATCCCCCACAACTGAAAAACACTTAGTAAGGTTCTGATTTCAAAGAAACTGTCAAATTCCGCACAGGTTTTTAGGATAGAAGAGGTAGTTCTTAATCATGTAATTCAGCTCTGACATAACACAGAGCCCATAGTTCATAGTTTCAATAGATTTTAATTTCCCTCTGAGTAGATTCTTCTGTAAGAACTAAGACACGTATAGAAATGTTTTTTCTCAAACTAACATTTCAGGCAGACTTCAGGTTCATGCTAGACCTAGGTATACACATAGGAAAAAAATAAAAATAAGCAAGTCTCCATCTTTCTCTAGAACCAAAGACCAAACACAGCCCTGAGAGTTGCCTTAAGCAGCCTGCATGATGCTAGGTCAGGTGGAGGACTTCAGTTCCTGCTTTGCAATGCAATGCAAATGTCTTTGACTTGTTCATCACATTTAGTGCCATTGTGGACCCATGAGCCATAGCGCTAGAAGAGTATTCATCCAGTACAAAGAAACAGAGGAGACATGAGGGATATTGTGTTTTAATGTTGCTCAGGCCCAGCTGCTCTCTGTGATGGTAAGTCAGAATGGAATAGGAATTTGACTTCTGCAGCCAGGTGAGAATGAAAGTCACCTGGTAGTGGCTTTTGAGGACCAGCTTCTGCAGCTGCAGAGCATCCACATGTTCCTTAGCCCTACAAGTGACTGTGATGAATAGAGTCTCCAGGAATCCTAGGAAAATGAGTTTTATCATGGAAATGGCACTAAAAGGTGTTTCGCAAGAGGAGCCCACATGAAGCAATCTCACAAAATTAATTTCAGTCAAGAAATGAAGCTGTGTACTGTTACTTCTTCTTGTTTAGAACAAGTATGATTTTACTATGCATTCTCAATTTACAAGAGAACTACCAGTTTTACCCTGTTTGCTGTGCTGACAGCTATCATGTGAACCATGTCTTTTACAGGAACCTTCTGATGCAGTGAATTCACTTAGTCTCCGCATCGACATTGGCCTTGCAAATCCTGGCTCCAGCCCTGTCCTTGATATATATTCTCCTGCATCTGTGGCCTATAGTGTAAGTATGCAGACTTAGTATCAAAAAATGCATTTCTATACACACATCCATAATGTGTGGCCCCCACAAACACCAAAGACGTACATGCAAGTGAAAATTGGTGTTCTAGTTAAGTCACTGGGCTGAAAACAGGCACCTGGGGGTGTGTCCCCTGGTTCCTTTTATACATTTGTCTGTATAGCATGGGCTTGCTCACACACACACACACACACACATCAGCCACCACGGCATAACAAGCATGTTGGTTGAGTCATGTTGATGTGAACTTCTAGTTGATGGCAAACGTGAACTCTTTTAGGTTAGTTTATCCTACAATAAAAGAGTACGTAAAAGACAGATGGAACCCCTTTGATTACATCACATTTGTTGTGGGTTAAAAATAACCTGCCTGCACCATTCTTACAGATCAGTTGACATGTAGTAACATGTTACTCAGTGTTAACTTGTTCATGTGTCAGAGTTTTTAATGCCATTCGGGGATTTTCTTATTTGCAAACCAAGAATGTGCTTTACCTCAAAGGTGTTTGTGCTCTACTGTCTGCAGATAATTTTAAAGTTAAACCCTGTCATTCAGGAAATGTTTTTGGTTTTCGTAGATTCCTTTTATTAAAGACTGTGGTGAAGATGAACTTTGTATCTGTGATCTTGTTCTGAATGTTCAGCGGAAGGCAGATGATGGGTAAGAGCTGAATCAGTGGAATTGTTGGGGTTGAGTGTTAAGTTTTCACCAGCTGGTTTGTATGTAGGCTTTGGATGAATTTCTAGATGAGAATGTCTTTCTAGTTCAACATCTGCTTAAAAATAGCAGGGATAAAAAAGCAATAGTATTTCTGTCTAAATAACTAATCAAGGAAAAAGAGGTATGATAGGAACACAGATACAGAAGTAGGACTCTTGTCAGCTTAGACAAACCCTGATTTTGGTGCCTTACGGATGAGGACACAGTGGGCATTCAGAAGAGTCGTGTCTGGTTGGCTGCTGTCAGGAAAGGGAGCATACTGGGAGGGCAGCAGCAGCAGCAGCAGCTGTCTTGGTCCCTCCCACAGGGAGCACTGAGGATCCTGCAGCAGGCTGTGCAACTGGAGAGCTGACGTCAGCCATTTGGGCAGTATATATTCCAAGCCCATATGCAGATATACACATCTGTGCGCAGTACACAGAGAGACAGGGCTGCTTCTTCCTGGAGCTGCCATCCAGGTCTGCCACCTACTCTCTGCCCACCTTCCCACCAGGGTATAGCCCTTGAAAATTCAGCTAGGTGACTTTGACCATACATAATCAAGGTCCTGCACTTTGAGAAGACACTAATTCCATTTGGTTTTAAGGAACACCATCACAGAATTTCTTATGGCAAAGGGTTTAGAAAGCAGAGCCTTTAAGTGCGTAGAATGTAGGAAATGTCTTGCTGTGCTTGTTATTTGTTGTTGGCTACAGGCAACATATTTCATGATCCACAGCTGTTCTAGTACCTCTATTTACAACAATGGACTTTATTTTCCAACAGCAAACAGCAGTTTGTTGTCAGCAGCAAAACCAGAAGACTAACATTCAACGTGAAATTGAGAAATAAAAAGGAAAATGCATATAACACCAGAATCCAGGCTACATTTTCAGACAATTTGTTTTTTGCTTCATCGTCTTTACCGGTATGAGATACCCAACCTCACTGTTTCTGTTATTGCTACTGATTTTCAAGGTTCTCGGAGAATTTATTTTTTTTTCTTTCTAGTAAAGAAAGGAAAGGAATGTGTGTGCAAACCTCTCTCCCAATTTATTTTCTTGGATACCTGAATTATTCCCTTAGGCATATCAGTTTATTTAGGTCAAGGAGAGTCACTGCCAACTCAGCGTAAAAGTTGGCAACCTGTTGAGTTTGACTTCACCTCAGTATTTCAGTGATCTTTTTCTCACTTTAGGCCTTAGCACCCACATCTTGTGCATGACTCCCAACAACAGGCCTGAATGCAGTTGCTGTGCCACAGGGAATTTGTATTTGATAAATCAAGCATGCAGCATTGATGATGCGGCCTTAAAGCACAGACTTTGGATCTAGAAATATTGTTACTGCCAAGGCCATATGTTCCAGCTAGGCAGTTAATCAGATTGAAATGATTGCTATACCAGAAGCTGCTCTTCTAATGAATTTTGTCTCAGAAAAGGGAAAAGAAAGGAATTATACATACTGTTTTGGGGAATGCAGTAAATCTATAATATCAGCTGTTGCTCCCAAACAATTCATGAAAGATGAAGTCCAGACTTCAGTGCTTGGCTTATGTGGTCTGGCTGCTACTGGAGAGGTGCATGATAATCCTAGGGGTGAAATCCAGAGCAATCCCTATACTGAAGGCAGAGGAGGGGTAGGAGCATTCATCACTGCCCCAAGCATTTTCCTGAACAATGAACTGGCAGAAGTACTCCAAACAGTGCTGAGGGTGCCCCTCTACCTCCCCATCCTGTTGTGCAGCAAAATTGCTCATTCGACTCATGCCAGAAGACCACACTGGAGCTAGATTTTTCTTTTGCTTTAAAAGCCCATTTGCTTAGAAGTATTTCAGCCTGGAAGTGAAGCTTTTGACCAAAAATGTGCCTGCTTCAAAGCAGGAAGAAAAGTATAAGCTGAGAGCGTATGGGTGCTGGTTTTGGGTAGCATAATTCATGAATGGTAAATGTCTGCTAGGAGTGCTTTTAACAAAAGACAGTACATTATAATGAATTCTTTTCAAAGTGATGATAACTGGCTATGGTCTGTGAGTTCGTCTTTGATGTAGGATGATGACATACAAGATGCTCTGCAAAGTAGTAAATAAACTCTTGTCTGTTTTAGATTTCCCTACAAAAAGTACGATAGAGTTCCCCTCTGCACACTAACTTCTGCAGTGGGAGTACTTAACTACCTGTCAGGTCATGTAAATATGTCTGAAAAAGTTCTGTAAAAATGCTGTAAAAAAGCACTGTAGGAGTTCATGCTGGAGGTGACCTGTACTCTCTAGCCTATATTCCTTCTTCCAAGCCCAGCACAAAATTCTAACAAGATCATTACAGCTCACAAGAAATCGCATGGGACTGGTCCTTGTCCTACCTTTCTCTTGCCTCTCTCCTAGCCCTGGCTATGCCCTATGCTGCATCTCTAGGAATTACTGCCGTAACACCTATTTGTGCTGCTCCTTAGCATAATACATGTCCTGTTGAAGATACAGACTGGGAACTTCTCTCTGCTTTATCAAAACCTGATATTAAGATGACTTTTCTGTCTGTTTCCTCTACAGAGTGATGGGACTGAAGTCTCGTGTCAGACAGGAACAGCACAAAGTACAGTCATTTGCCAAATAAGCTATCCTGTTTTCAGAACAGGACAACAGGTACAGCTAGCATGTTTAAATAACCTTGAATGATACCCAAAAGCTTTTTTGGTTTTTTTTTTCCCCTAAATCTGCATTTACTGCTGGTGAGGATTTCTTAGATTTGGCAACAGTTAACTTCCCTTTGGATCTCAGAGGCATTAAAAGAAGCAAACTAAGGGCTAAACTTTTGTGACTCCCTGCCAGATTAAAGGAAAAAAGGCTCTTGAAGCACATTTCTCCCTATCCACAGCTTTCAAATGCTACTGTAGCTTCGTAACTCTTGGAGGGTGAGGGCTGGGGCAGAAGCAAGAAAGCATCATCATGTGTAGCATCCTGGGAACCGAGCACAGTTCCTGTCAAACCCCTCCTGCTGCATGAACCTGGGGTAGCTCCTTCGCCTGCTCTGTGAATCTCTTCTCTCCAAGAAAACAGTATTGCTTTGAGAGGAGATGGGTGGCCCACACAGCCCTAGGATAGATTGCGTATCTTTTTTTCTCATATACACCACAAATCTTGGGATATCCATGGTTTTATGGAACTTAATCTCCTATTCCTCAAGGGCAGAATAGAAAGAGGCTTCCAGCCCCTGACACAAACTGGAGCAATAAGAAACTTGCTAGAAATAATAGAAACATGACATTCTGGGGGGGAAGGGGAGCAAAATAAAAAAAAAAAAACCACGAATTACATATAAAAAGTTAAGTTTATTCTGAACTTTTAATGGCATTGGTCAAAGTGGACCTGTTAGAACAAATGGAAGACAAGAGTGAATACAAAGCTTGTTTTAGTGCTAGTGTTCAAAAGCCTGTAATTGAAGCAATCCTGAACACCTTTTGTTGCAGCTTGTAGCTAGTTATACACAATTTTAAAAAGCAAATACCTCATGTTTATGTAACAGTGCCAATTTGTAGGGGAAAGTGAGACCAAAGCAATTCTGGAGTATTAGAAATTACTGAAATATTACACAGAAATCAGTGGAGAATTCAGATACACAGGGCAATTCTAGGTTGTTGCACATGTGAATAATTATGCTGCTACTGGGAAGTCCTTTGAATGTTGTAATGTCAACTCATTTACTTTGTGTTCCTTGTCTCTTCCATAGGTATCCTTTGATATTAGTTTTGATTTTAACCTGAAAAATCTTCAGAATGTGGCAGTTCTAAATTTTCGTGCGTTGAGGTAAAGTATATAATCTTATCAAAGCAAGTTAGGTATTCTCATTTGTATAAAATAATATTGTAACACCTGACTTAAATGTGTTCTGATGAACAGTGAAAGTAAGGAAGAGCAAGAATTGGACAACCAGGTCATCTTACCAATTCCTTTGCGATATGATGCAGAAATTCACTTCACAAGGTATGCTGAATAATGTAAAGAGTCACTGTCATTTTGCCAAGGCATTTGAATATACTAACAGTCTTGAAAGGCCACTGAAAAGTCAGTGAAACTTTGTTTTCGTTGTGGAAGTCCTAAGAAATTCCCACTTCATCAACAGTAGCAGAATTTTATGTTCTTCCAATAAGCTTACATGTGAAAAATGATGGCATATGTAGTAAGAAATCATGAATCCATGTTTACCTGTGCACAATTGTTACAGATGCTTACATGAATGAAAGTGGTATAAAAAACAAACAGCACTTGTGATTTTGATAATATAATTAGCATATACTATATAATAAGGTTGGGCCTCTGGGCTCAAATGTAGTGATGTTGGATCAAATCTGGGGTTAAAGTGATCAAAACTAAACAAAAGAACAACAAAAAGAAAAATATGCCCCAGCTCAAACTCTCAGCAAAGGTGGAAAGAAAAGAAAAGAAAAAAAAAATTGTGGACATATCTGCTGAACCTGGACCAAAAATATAAACTCTTATTAGCAGTTTGAGATAATGATTTGAACTAAAACCTGAGGTGGCACATGGCAGATTCCCCCTTGTTGCAGCTGTGTTGGCATTGGGAGCAGCACACCCTGCTTTCCCATGCTCCCACCCAGAGATTCTGGCTCACACCTACCCCTTCCCTTCTGGCGTCAGCTCTTTCCCCTCCCTGCGGAAGGCAAGTTGGGGCTGTTGCAAGAGGGATCCTTTACCCTGGGAAGGGCAGTTTGTAAGGAGAGACAGCTGGGCGGGCAGGGGGAGAGAGACAGACAAAAAAGACTGATCTTCATATCATGCGCTTGAAACCTCTTATCTTCAGCCCTAGAAACCCCTCGTGGTTTGGGATGCACTGAAATAGTAATTAGTCTGTCACTGTTCCAAACAAGAATAATGTCAGTTACAGTTTAACTTAAATTAGAACTGAAGCAGAAATACACTGGTTTGACTCTCAGATCAAGATGGGATATTTTACTTTGCATCAAAGAAAAGATTTGTTTATGCTTCCCAATTACTGAATTTATAGGATAAACTACATGTAGTTACATTTGATGCACTTGGTCACCAATTCTTAGTGAAAAAATGCGTTTGGATTCTGAAGCGCTCCAGAATTTGTAAACATAAAACTAATAGAAAATAAATAGTAATTATTCAAAGAATGACAGAAATTTGAAAAAGAGGAAGCTGCTTAAAAATGCACAGCAACAATGAATTCAGGAAATAAATATTCAAAGATCACGATAACTATAAGAACTGCTGGCTGTGTAGGATGACCTGAGCTGCAATAGGGACCACAGTACAGATTAGTTTAATAATCTGCTTTGCAGCAACAGTTTCACAATATTGGGAGGCCCTGCATTCACCACAGCTAGGTGCACCAATTCTGGAGTCATGCAGAATTTTTCAGATTATTTTAATTGCAGAGAAGCATTTGAGTCAACAATGCAAGTTCTTTCAGCTCCCTGAGCATGTTGCATGAGACTTCAGCAGAAGCAGAGTGTTTGTTACTCAAGTTAGCAGTGGCACAGAGACTACAGGAGCATCTGACTGGGGGGGGCTAGCACAGCAGCTTAAGCAGCCTCCTAGGAAATTGAGATGGTACAAGCAGATTTAATTAGCTGAGAAATACAAACAGAAACTCAATGCTTCAGAAAAGGCAGGCACGGAGTCTACGGAGTTACTCAAGGAAAACTCAAGGAAAAACAGGGGTTTGAATTCAGGCGCATCTCCTGAGTATGAGAAAATGCGATTTCATACACAAGTCAAGGCATGAAGGAATACCTACTGCCAGAAGAGGATTAGTTATTCTTGGAGGTGAACCAATTTAAAAGAACTAAAGGAAATACACATTAAGCCAAGGTACAATTTTAAATGCTTCCCTTGGAGTTAGCTCATTTTTATGCTCTTCCACTTAGGAAATACCTATCTGGAGATAGTTCCTTCTTGAGGCAGGTAATACAGCTGAGGAGCAACCTCTTAAAATACAAGGGTTGAGAAAAAAGTGTGTCTTGCTGAAGTGAAGCCTGTCTAGGGAGAATCTCCTAATCTGAGTTTCCAGAAGAGGTGGGCATCAGTCTTACCAGTGACTCCAGCAAGGACAAGGAAGCTGATGCTGTGCATCCTGGAAGGACTGGAGATTTGCGCAATAAGGAAGCAGAAAATGCATCATATGGGTTCCTAGGTTTCCTAGGAGTCCCTGTGAGGAGGCCTTTCAAGGAAAGGGCCCATGGGAGGAAGTATGGAGGATCAAAAAGGATCCATGATGCAGTATGGAGGAGCACAACTGATCAGGAAGCACCACTGTGAGACTGCACACATGTTAATTTGGGACTGTACGCACCAATGTTAACCAGGTTAAATGGGGAGCGCAGCACTGGTAAAGAGGATGGATTTGCACCTTGTACTACAGGAAGAACTGATATAGGAATCATGATAGCCCCTGTTCCTTGTTAAGTCACTCCCTGGCTTTCTTTTTGACTGCTCAAATTAGCCTCCTAATGAAAGCTAATGATGAAGAGTGGACACAGGTCTGGGACAGTTCAGTGGAGGAGCTGCTCACAGGTAGCAGCACATGGATGTGATGCACTACACAGGGATGCTTTCATTATCTTTGAGCATGGTCCCAGCTGGCTGAGCCCCTTGAGCATCCAAGGGGCCCTTGCACCACATCCTTCCATCACACACCTGTAATTTCATGCTGTGGTGGGCTGCAACCACCCTCGTGTTACTTCGGAAATTTTGGATTTTGAAGCCCATAAATAGTAAAGAAAGCAGCCCAGAGGAGACCGAGAGCTACGTGATATGTACCATGCACACAAGCAGGCTGCTGTGTGTTTCCACAAACAAGCCTGCCTGTGGTCTATGGCATTAGAGCCCAGGATCTCCCTCAGAGTCTGCTGGTATTTGCTGTTACAGACGTAGTAAGGGGGACCATAGAGGGACCCTGACTGAGGAGGGAGGCCAGTGCAAGGCTGAAAGTCGCCTTTTGTGCCCAGGAGAGGAGCTTGCAGCATGGCAATGAAACACCACGGAGTGCAGGAGGCTGAGCAGAGCCTATATCTCACACAGCCCTCCTGTCTTACCTTCACATGCTCGCTCCAGCTCCAGGCTTCAGTACACCATGTATTTTCTTAACCAACTTTGTAAAATTCAAACAGCAGTACAAGTGACTGATTTTTCCTCTGACTGTACTTCTGACCTGTTACATGAATGCACATCCAGTAACGTATGTTTTCAAAGCAGCTGCCAAACTGAAATGTATTGTTTTATGGTTGTTAACTAGGCTTGCCAACATCAACTTTTATGAAGTATACTCTGGTCAGAACATTCCTTCCACTGTGAATAATTTTGAAGATATTGGCCCCACGTTCAACTTCTCAGTTAAGGTTAGTAAATGTTTCTGGTTCTGCTTTGAAAAGCTGCCTTACCTCCTCCTGTAGCCTGGTCCCAAAACAGTTGAAAAAACATTCCTGATTTCAGTGTCTGATTTTGATGCTTTTGAATCAGTCAAGTAAGGAAAAAAAAATATTGCAAATATGTGGGGGATAAATGCTTACAGTCTTTATGAGATTAAGGATGAAATTTGCACTTACTGCACAAGTAGAATGGGGGAGGGATTGGTCCTGCACTGTTTACATATTTAGAAGATCGTTAATGCTTAACTTTAGGTCAACTTAGACTTTTTTCCCAGAGCATATTTGTCCTCTGCTGACTTGATAAAGGAAAACAAGTCTTTGCAGGCTTGGACTTTGAAACTTGAAGTTTGGCAAGGGTTAAGTGCTCAAACCAGATGCAAGAACTAGCCAGATCACAGAATTTATTACATAACTCAGAAAAACTTAGATCCAAATATGCAACGTGGAAGAAACGTAAATTATGTTCCATTTACGTTCCTGTAACTGCTACTCTAAAGGACTAATAACAGGCCTATTGGCTGTGGCAGAGTATTTGCTTTTCAAAACATATTCATGCAGTTAATATGAGCTTTGCTAAGGAAACAGGCAGAGACCTGAAGCTATACAGTACACTTTCTGCTTTACTATTGGCATAATGTAATTACTACCCTAGTGTCTTGGTATAAAAAACATTGATGCAAAAGGAGTCCAGTTCTTCAATACTCATCCATGATCTCTGATTTTCTTGCTTTACCAAATAATTTATGCATGTGTAAGTATAGCTACCTGAATGAACTGTGAGTTATTTGCTTTGCAGGTAACAACAGGAAGTATTCCAGTGAAGATGGCATCTGTAGAAATCTATCTTCCAGCATCAACCAGCAAAGACAACCCACTGATGTACATAACTGGAGTCACCACAGATCAGGTGAAGAACTGAATTACATAAACTGCTGTGTTTGGGGGTTTAATCAGTACCATAAACATCAATTATTTCCCTCATAGTGTGGCTGAGATTCAGAGAATCTATGCCCTTTCTCCTTGTCCCTTCCTCATAAAGGGAAGGGGGATGACCATAATGTCAGCAGTACACTAGTCTTGTTACTTGGCAGATGTGGATTATGTTTACGGTCCATGGCTGACTTTTCATATGACTCTGGAACTCTTCTGGAACTCTTAGGTCCTTTTCCAAGTTCCTGGGAAGGCTATAGTAAAAATAGGATTTTTAGATTGGGGTAGACCCTTCAGGTCAATCTGTGGGGAAAAAAATTACTCTTAACAGCCGCTTAATTCTGACCAAAACCACATACAGTCTCAGTTTCCCAAGTATCCGGTGTTACGTAATTCACAATCTACCCTTTCACAGCCACCATCTCATCCCAGAAATATATATTATTATGATGACTATAAACTCCTGAGTATGATGTCATCCAGTTTCATTCCTGCTGTCTTTCCTAGGCCAGAGGTGTTACTTGTCAAGCTCAGATAAATCCACTGCAAATAGGGAAAAGACCTTATTTGGCATCTTTCACAAGAGAGAACTTCAGAGCTTCCAAAGAACTGGTGAGTAAGACTCAGGGCTTCTCAGGGCTTTAGTACTGCAGGACAGGGGTGCAGAGCTGATCCTTATGAGCCCACTGCTGTACCTGTGGGAACATCTGTGGTGGGGGTGGCATTCCTAATTCACAGTGCAGGAGTGCAGCCTATGGATGTTCTCACAAATACTGAATCTGCCTTAGAAGAAAAAGTGCATGTTCTTCACAGCCTGCAAGCACTTAATTTGTATGCATAGAACGGCAAAGGCAAGGGCAAAAATATCTGGATATTAAAAGAACATTTGTTAAAGTGTATTTTTAATGCATGCTGTTGCCTCTCCATGCTGTTTTCCCTGGAAGAACTGTAAGAATGTGAAGTGCAGCACCATCACATGCAAACTGGAAGACATTATCCTGAAGGGAGAGTACTTTGTGAATGTGTCCACCCGAATCTGGAATGGAACCTTTGCTGCTGTGAGTATCAGCTGCATCTTCATGAAGGATCCAATACTCAAGTATTTCCTAACTCCTGATATTTTTCAAAGATCAGTAAAAAAAGGCCTTCCAATCTAGAAAGACCTTCCGTTACTTTACATTGTTGTGTTTTCCAGATTGAAAACTTGAATCTAAAAGTAAAGTAGTGAGGCTGCATAACAGAGCTGATAACCTTCAGTCCAACACAAAACCTAAGAAAATGCTGTGATAATGCAATCTTCACAGCTGAAAAAAAAATTTTCTGCATCTGTTAAATTCATTCAGGGGAAGCTACAGTTTCCACAAAACTCAACATAGGACAGCAGAGTACAGTATCATCATAGCCTGGAAAATAGTGTTGCTTTTAGCTTTTGGAAGATCACAGCCTACATAGTGATCATTTTAAGTCACATCAAAATATCAAAAGCCTGTAAGTGCTGCCAGTTATATTTGCTAGAGAAGGTTGGAAATTTTAATTTTTTTTATTTTTTTTTTTAGAGTTGGTGTCAAGGAAACAGTCCTTGCTTAAAGACCTACAGGGTGTTTAAAAATATCCAATAATATCTTGACTTTCCCATTTTAAATTACCATGTGTCCTCCAGGATATAACTCATCATGAATTACCAGACTTTTGAAAGGAGAACATGTTTGCTTCTTAGCTAGGCAACCAACCAAACTGTCTTGGAGTCCTAGGTTTGCCTAGAGTGTCAGGAACATGACGCAGTCTCCTTAGTTTGTCTGGCAAGTCTAATGGCAGGTACTGACATTTAACAGCAGGGCTGTTGTCAGCTTTAGCATTCAGCTCTTAAAAGGAAAAGGTCAGGCTGATAATGTAATATACTCAGCAAGTGTGTGAAGGAAAGCATCTGTCTGTCTTTAAAGTTTGAATTTTTCAAATCATCTGGGTTAAGACCACTTGTTAGTGCATCAGGTACACAGAAGGTGGAGACCTGAACAAAAGGTTGCTACCCTCGCACAAAAGTAAGTGGAAATGATTTGTTTACCACTGGGCGACAGGAAGGAAAGATCGCATGTCACAGTTTTCCTCTCATCTCCCATTTTGTTATTTTCCATTTGATTGATTGTCAATGGTCAGTGCAAATAATCTTGCAAGCACTCAATAATTCACATAAGTCAGCCTTTTTATTTAGTGGCAATCAGTCACTGTCCAAGACAGGGATAGCAGGCTTGCTGGTATCTGCTAAGCAAAGAAAACAAAGATGTATTTAGGAATAACGAGGTGCTTTGAATAGTGCTGAGGTGGGTTTCTAAACATTTAGGAGCGCAGGACAGGCCACTTGGGCAGATGGCCACAGTGCAGGTGTACAATAACTGTATGCTGCAGGGATGGTCAATTTGGTGTGCGTCAGCTGCTGCGGACCTACGGTTGCTCATGTTCCCTGTGTCAAGCCCACCATACCTGGCCCTGCCCCAGAGAAAAGGCTGAGGAGGCATGACAGAGCAAAGTGACAGAGCAGGCATTGCATTTGTACGGCTGGCAAGTGCTCCTGTGCTACCACGAACCTGAGGCTGTTCCCGGTGGTGCTGTAGGACACAGGGCTCTCCATGTCTGCCACACGGGGAGAAGAGCAGTGGTGAGCTGGCAGTGTCTGCACAGCCATGCTCCTCACACATGCACAGAGGGAAGTGGGATCTGGCACAAGGTCCCTTTTCAAATAGGAACTGGCCTAAGATTTTTGTCATTTTCTTTGTTTAAGCTGAGGGAGAGATGTCAGAATTTGAGCAGAGGAGAGGAACAGATAGTGATAGGAGAAAATAAATGGGGAAAACCAGAAGCATTGGATAGAGTTGGGGGGGCGGGCAGGGAAGAACATCCAGTTTCCATTTCTTTCAAAGGCCAGAGATACATCCCCATCTGTCTTTTGTTGCTGAGCTATTTCTCCCTTTGTTATTTTTCCCCCCTTCTCTTCCCTGCTAGCAGCAGTGACAGCTTTGAAATAACTATAAAAATGGATATATAATCAACTTCTCCTGTTTTGCTTGAACTATATGTTAAAGAAGCCAGTTCCCCGGTTTCATTGCTAATAAGTAAGAACAGCAAAATTAAGTCTGGATTACTGATACATTATTACTTTCATAGACACATTAGCTTGGGACAAATAAAAAGATAATTTTATTTTTCTTAATACTGTGGTTTTTTTCTGGTTCTGAAGTCTTCATTTCAAAACAAGAGAATTATTTTAGGATGTCTATATTCTAAGTTATTTGCCATGTAACAGAGCTTTACAGTTTTTTTAATTTTCTCTTTCAGTTAACTTTCCAGACATTACAACTCTCTGCAGAGGCAAAAATTGATACGCATAACCCCGACTTATTTATAATTGGAGAGAATACCCTAACAGTAAGTGATAGATAAGTACATTTTTTTCAAATTCTCTTTCACTGTATTGAAGTGGTAATATTTAATTTTCAGCGTCCTTTAGGAGTACATAGCAAATTTCAAACTCTGATGACATTTGATTCCATTGAACTAATGTATCCTTTGGGCTATATACAACCTCCCTTAAGGTCCCAAAATGTTTTCATTTCAGCCAACTACTATATAAACCAGACTAGTTAAAATCTGTAGATCTCAAATAGATTGTAGAACTATCAGCAAAATTCAGGTAGAAACTTCTGAAATTCATTTAGCTTCCTGTTCATGAGAAGATCAAAATTTGGACTTCCTTCTGCAACGGAATTAATTGTTGTAGATAAATGAGCTCTGGGAGACATTTTTGCAAATCTGAGTTATAGTCTTACTTCTGTGAGTGTATTTGGTTTGATGTTTGTAGACAGATGTTTGGCACAGGTATCGAGCAAATATACTTAATCTCGTTTGTAAATGAATGTGGAGTATTTTTTGCATTTGGAATGGCTGTCCAATGGACAATATGGACACAGGTAATCTCAAGAAAAGTCTCCAAACCACCACTTTATTAGTGTAGAATTCTTCTCCCAGGGTTTCCATCTGCTATATACAAACATAAACAACACTTGAAGAATACATTAGCGCTGTGGTGTTGTTGTAATGAAAAGATAACTTGTTCTCTTGGCCTATCTAGGGAGGAACACTTCCATTTGCAATACTAAGTTTAGATTTATTTTTACAGGACTTACCAGCCTGTTTTACCCATAAAAATAACCAAGGCCACTGAAGACCAAAATGCAAGTTAGTAAGGGAGTCAAATATCTGTGACAATGTGTGGCATAGCCCATTTACAGGCAATGGAAAATTCAGTTAAATATGTACAAAAGCGGTTATTGATTGATCTATCTCAATGTGGAAATAAGACCATAATTCAGTAGGTTTTTTTTATATTGTTTTCTCATGGATCACTCCATTTCTTGTGAAGCACGTCTAAATAGACCCATTTGTATTCAGGGAAACCTCCAGTGCCTGAAGACGTAAAGGGAATATATGAGTAGTTCTGGAAATAATGCCATGTTTTTGCAGAAAAATTACATGCCTGTATTTGAAGTGTGCTGAGTGCCTCAGCTTTGCAGCATAGTATTATTTCTGTTAGGAGAGGAAATTCATTAATACACAATGCAAATATTCCAGTTAATTGCACAGGCTTTTTAGGTAGCTCATAAACCATGTATTACTAGGTATTTTTCCACAGTTGAAGCATGATATTGCTAAATTTACATTATCAGCAGTTCTGTTGATTTCAGGAGAACCAGAATTTAATTATTGAAATGACTGTTAAGTCAGTTGACACATAAAAGGTAATTCCTGAGCCAGCCATTGAAACATCTGCAGTTGGGCCTTTTACAGCTCTGAGGCAGTGGGTGAACAGACCCTGGAAGTTATCCACAGGGCTCCTAAGAAACACAGTGGCTTTTGGTGAGGTTTACAGCCTGATCCTTACTCAATAGCCTCTTGCCCTGTAAGAGTTCTTGGAAAATGTGCCAGCTCATGGAGGTACACTTTCCCTAAGGCAGACAGTTTTGACACTTCAGTGATGGAGTCAGAAGCCAGCACTTCATATACTTCTTGGTAGACCAGCAGCAATACCCAGTCTTTGCCCTTCACACTTCCTTGGGAATAGGACAGTGCAGAAACAATATTGAATTTATTTCCCTACTTACCCTGTTATTTTAGACGGGAGTGGTAGGATTCATCCAACTTAATAGCTACATTAGTCAGCCACATCAGAGTTAGCCCTTCTATAAACATTAATCCATAGAAAGAACAGGTATTTCTGAGATGCAATTCATCTCATCTTAAAGATGATCCTGAAAATAAGTAGGGTACATTAGGCCCTAAAAGAGCTGGTTCTCCTCCATTTGAAGCCAAGGAACTATATAGTAGATGTAACACTAGATGAGATGAATCCCAGCCGTGGTGTCTTACTGACCACAGCTTGACTTCAGGCAAGATGTGTGTTCTTAGCCATTGATTTACCTCTCCAATAGTGCCACTTCACTGTTAATCTAATGGAGAAAGTATTACTAGGCAAACTGCACATACATACAAGATTGGCTCTTTAGTTTGGATGAGCTGGGTTGCTGTGTAGCCAAATGAATTAATATTGCCTTTTGATGCTATGTGGAGAAGCTGCTTAGGTATCTTTGCGTAAAAGCTTTCAGATTTTTTCCAGGTTGGAAAGGACTGACAGCTGGAGGAGAGAATGTTAACCTGCTATAATCATCATCATGGCCATTCTGTTAAAAAGTACACAAAACCATCCTGCCTCAGTGAAATGAATACACATAGCCACACCTAGCACAACATTGTAGCCTTCCAGGAGAAATGACTTAAATCACGGAGATGTCAGTCCACTGCAAGCTTCCCAGAAAGCTTAAGATTAAATTACACCAGACAAATGCATTGAGCAAGCAATCCTGAGAAATTAAACCAATATGACTTCTTTTATCATGTTTCAGGAAGGAAAAAACCATCATGCTAAATGCATGTCATTGCAAGATTAAATCCAAAGATTTGACAGTTCATAAATATTCCAGCAATGTCTCCCTGAGCAACTATGTTATATTTAACTATACAGTTGGTCATACCCATCCAAATAGACAGGGTATCACCTGAAAACTAACTTCCAGACACTGTATGCTGTTGTGGGAGATCTCTGGTATTGCTTGTAGTTCAGGAAGCATAGATGTGCTAGAAACACTCCTGTTTGACCCATCCGTCTTACAGCAAATTCATGCAGTTGACTCAGGAGAACACAGATTAAGATGAGAAGATCTAACAATTTATTAGTGGTTTCCCAGAAGGTAGGAACAGCAGGCAAATGAGACAGAGGTACCGGCCCAGCAGCAGGGGAGAAATTTCAGCAAACGCAGTGCATGGTGGTGTCTGGCCTCCATGATTAGTACTGCCTCCTACAGCTGCCCACCACAGATAACAGGCTCTGACAGCGCTTGGTTGGAAGCAGTTCTTCTCCAGCTGATGCAGTGGAAGTCTGTTTTGAGCAGATGGGGCTCTACACCAGGCTATTCCCCACCTGCATGAAAGCACATCTGTTTTACATAGTGATGGTGTGTCCGTGATGGGAAGAAGTCAGAAAGACCTCCTTTCCTGTTACTGGAAAGGCAGAAAGCTGGCAGGAAGAGATTGCTCCTCTGCCTGTTGGGTATGGCCAAGAGTGATGAGGGCCCCTAATTCTTAACTGGCACTGCCACATGCCACAGTGGTGCAGCCAGGTACCTGTGGACACCAGTGAAAAGGCTGTAATTGCCTGGTGTGTTCCAGTCATTGATGCTGGAATGTGTGCAGTCCAGCTGTTCTTGAGTAGTGAAGTATTTGGTTTACAAATCCTACTTTATATACAGTTAACATTAACCCCTAATGCACAATCTCTCTGCTTTCAGATCCCAGTTACAATAATGAAGCCGGATGAGAAAGCTGAGATACCAGTTGGTGTTGTGATTGGCAGTATACTGGCTGGGCTCCTCTTGCTGTTAGTATTGGTTGCTGTTCTGTGGAAAGTAAGTAGGTGTTTATATTCTTAAAAAGAAAAGCAGAAAGGGATAAATACATTCGGGCTACTTTCTTTGGAATCTCTCTTCTCTGGTGCTGAACAAAACCACACATGCAGTTTGGTGGTGTTGTGGTTTAACCCCAGCTGGCAACTAAGCACCACACAGCTGCTCACTCACTCCATCCCAAGCCCTCACACCCCAGCAGGATGGGGAGGAGAATAGAAAAAAAGTAAAAGTTGGGGGTTGAGATAAGAACAGTTTAATGATTGAAATAAAATAAAATAATAATGATAGTAATAATAGTAATGGAAAGGAAGATAACCAAAAATAACAGAAATAAAACCCAAGAAAGACAAGTGATGCACAGTGCAACTGCTCACCACCCACTGACTAATGCCCAACCAGGCCCTGAGCAGCGATGAGCAGCTCCTGGCCAACTCCCACCAGTTTATATAAGCATGACATCCTATGGTATGGAATATCCCTTTGGCTAGTCCAGGTCAGCCATCCTGGCCATGCTTCCTCCCAGCTTCTTGTGTACCTCCTCACTGTCAGAGCATGGAAAACTGAAAAATCCTTGACTTAGAATAAGCATTAATTAGCAAAAGCAGTACTTGGCAACAACTAAAACATCAGTGTGTTACCAACATTATTCTCATACTAAATCCAAAATACAGCACTGTACCAACTACTAGAAAGAAAATTAACTCTGTCCCAGCCAAAACCAGGACAAGTGGTATGAATAATACTGCATTGTCATTGCGCCCTTGATGGGAGCATTTAGAAGGGCTCTAAAAATAGGTCCCCATAGAAAGGGCAACATGAAGGTGATAAATGAATTTCCAGCAGTTCAAAACAGGGGCTGTGGCATTTACTTTTTTCCTTTTTGACACTGGCTGCCTCCTTCCATAACTCCCCAGCTGGGCTCTGAACTCCCATGATATTCCCAGTGGGCAAGCCTGGGGATAAGAAGCAAAGAGGGAGAGGATATACACTGAACAGAAAAACAGAGAACAGAGAAGGGTGAGGGAAAAAAGTCATTTTCAAAGGATACCTAGATTAAGGGGAGAGAAAAGTTTTCCTGTGTGCCAGGGCCTTGGTTCTTGAAGGGCTCCTTGGCACACTAAGGCAACATGGAGTTGCCTGTATCTTGGCAGGGAGACAACTGGCTACTCAGCACTGCTGTTCTCGCATTTAGTTGCACCAGGCAGGAGCAACTAGCTCCTTTCAATTTAGAGTCGGGAACTGTCTACAAATCAAACACTGTATATGTGTGCATGCACACATGTATTTCTACCATCACACTATTTAGCTTAGCTCAGAAATGTAACTATCAATGACTTACTCTGATATGGTGTTATTTTAATGCTTACCACAGCTTGGCTTCTTCAAGAGACAGTATGAGAAAATGACACAAGATATAGAAGATGTCGATGAAATTACAGAACTCACAAAGGACAAGGACTGAAGATGATGAGTTACATGGATAGAAGAAATCTGAGCCACCAACAGTAGTTGTGATCCAGTCGGTTCTTCAGCTGGAGTGCCTTAAAGCTTAGTAACATTTAAACATTTTTAATGGAAGTGTCTTGTTATAGATGAAAATATTTTACAGATTCTACTCTATTATAAGAGTAACTGCAGGACAGTTCATTTTTTTTTCCAAAATGATTTATAGTGCCTTTTCTTGTAAATTTTTGCCTTTCAAACAAGCTTAGCCCTTAGAACTGGCAGGTCCGGAGTTTACAGTAACATATTGTGCCAGCAACCTTTCTCCTGCTCCACTGCAGAGTGAAACAGAGCAATTTATTTCAGATTACTGTGGAACAGCATCAGTTCGTAATTCAGTTGACAAGTACCATATGTGTAAAGGACATTTTCTATTAAGTTGATGATGAATGTGTGGTGAATACTGCTTCCAGACTGGGAGAAGAAAACCCATTTTTCATTGACTAACTCCATCTTTATTGTTTTAGAGAAATAATTTGCACCAGCAAACCTTTGTCTTAACTAATCTATAAAGTGGGAACTGCGTATGAAGATGTCTGTCTGGGTGCTACAGGACAACCGGGTGGGCAAACTGTTCCAAAAGTTCACCATATTCCTTGCACTAAGGTCACAACTAAATTACTGAAGTACATTGCCTTGGGGAAATATTGCCAAATGGTATGTGTAACTGCCTTCTGCATACTTTCTCTCTGAGAAGAAAGTAAGAATTTCATAATAATTTACAGCATTTTCTCTGCAATGTTATGATTAGTTTTCAGACTTCATCTTGAGAAGCACTACCACTACTGTTACACTGGGCTTTACGCTCGCAGTCGCTCTGACACTAGTTTGGCTTTTGACATAAATAGGGAAGACAGTCAAGATCTTGCCTTTAATTCTGTACTGAAAGATTTTGCAAGACTAAGAGCGTGAAGTGAACTAAAGGGGATGATTACTAAGGAAGTATGCACATTGGGACAGAGGATAGTGAAGATCTAAGCTCTGTAAACTGTTTACTGCACTTGTTTCTTTAGCATCTCAGTGCCCTCCAGGAGACCAAAGTTCTGTACAACCTCCTTAGCTGTCACATTTTATTTGGTCCCACATGTTCCTGTCTTGATGAAGATAACTTATGTTTTATACAGTAAAGTACTGTAGTGCTCTGGAAGGAGCTCTGAGCACAACACTTGGGTTGACTTACGTTGGTCACACACCTCAAGTTTATCACATGCCATTATGCTGCCTGGTTTTAATGAAAGCTCAGTCTTAAAAAGGCACATGCTGTAAGACTGCTAACAGTCAGGGGAATTGGCCTTTTGGCTGCCTTTCTCTCTCATGCCTGGCAGTTATGCTTATAATCAATTGTGAGAGAAGATGTGTGTGTTGTCCTTATGTACACTGCCATGCAAGTGAGATTGTTTCCAACTCAAGGTGATTTACTTGAAGAGTAAAACACTTAAATGTACCTGATTCAGACCCAAAGTCATGTTTTCTTTCCCCCAAAGCTAGATTGTAATTATGCTTAGGCACCTTTCAGATTATTTTCTGAGGGACTTTTCAAAAACTAGGCTTGAGCACGTTTGAAAGTTTTACTCAGTCTTTTTTAATCAGCAATCAGTCAGGAGCCAACCATCTCTTTGGCAAATAACAGCTTCATTTGCAGTGACAGCTGGATTGTGCTCAGTGTAGTTTTATATGTGTTTTGGATTCATTTTGTATCTATGAAATGTTATGTTTTGGGGTGGGGTTTTTAAACATTCTGAAAAACAATCCAGATTCTGATCTCAATTGTCAAACAAGACTGTTGCCATCAGCTGAGTTTGTGACCAAAACAATTATGTAAGTAAAAAAAAAAAAAAAAGTAGCAATTGCATAAAGCTAAAGAATAAGCTCCTGACTTGTAATTGTAAATCCTAAGGGCAAATGCTCTGAAAGTAAAGATAAAAAATTGTCTGCCTCAATTCTTACATAAACGTGTGAGAAGAAAACAAAACCCTACACCTGTATGTGTGAGAAGCTCCTACATAACCAGGGTCATGCGCTCCAGGCCAGAGGGGGAATTTCACAGTGCAGCAGATGGCAGCACCTTTCATTTCTGGTGCTGCTTGCAAGGGAAATTTTGGCATTCAGCCAGATTTCCTTCTTCCACCTTTGGTGGGAGGTACAGGTCAGTATCTGACATACAGCTTCTTTGGGGATTTAACAGTTTATCAGTCAGGTAGCAATGACTCAATTCACTACTCTTCACTGGGTTTTCTGACCCAGACAACAGGAATTTCCCCCCAGCGTGGACACAATACTTTCTCCCAAAATAAAGGGAAGGCATAGCAATAGGTAAGGTTTTTGTATCCTAACCACTTCAAGTTACTAGTTTATTTTTCTTTTACAATTAATACTTAAATGGCTAATTCAGTTTTTGTAATGGGTGAGTCTATTGCACTTTTAAGTTGGCACAGCCGCAAATAATGCTGGAAATATTATGTATATTTTGTGTTATGCGCAAGGGGTTGGTTTGGTTTTTTTTTAGTTTTACTTTTTTAAAACAGCACATTACAGGTTAAATATTATTCTGAAATGTTGAGCTTCAGCATGTGCTTCTGTTTGTGCTTGCAGCAAGAAAAGTCAGGAATACCTTCAGCAAACTCAACTTGTATCTGATTCTGGTCTTGAAATCTAGCTGCTGACTTCCTGAAGTACTAGAATCAAGTCCAAAATCAAAGTTAGTTTCATATGAGCCTATGTATAGATTTGGGATGTACAAGAGAGTTTATAATCAAACTGACTTCTGAAAGCTAGCATGTAAGCTCTATGGGAGCAGGGACTGTATCACTGTGGTGCCTACCTGAGGGCCTAACAGCGTTACTACAATAAAAACAAGAATACTGCTGAACACAGACTCGTTTATTTTTAAAGAGCACCCTAAAGCAAAGAAATTCTACTGAAAAAGCACTACATAAAATGGGGCCAAATATGTCTTTGTTCCAGTAGCACACAGTGAAAACCCTAAGGGGATGACTCTGCTAGGTATACAAAGAAGCTGCACTTGGAAGTCTTGTAGGTTATAGTCATGAGTATAGTACTACCGGTAAGCTATATTGTAGGGTAAGTCAGTTTGCATTAGTGCAAAGTATCTGTGTATTTGAATAGCTCTGGTTGAATAGTTGGTGTTAAAACCTTATGATGGTCAAGCCTTCCTATAAGCATGGGGTTATCACTGGCATCTAAAATTACACCATATTCCGCCAGTCTCATGCCCTGCACTTTATATTATGTACAGAATTGGTCAGCAGTAGCATGTCCTGCCACCAGCTATAGCTGCTCCGCACCATACACTGGAAAAGCCAAATGCAACATTTCCGCAGGAGCACAGTGGGAAAGGAAGAAGAGGAGAAACTTGGCTGTGAATAGGAAGTCAATAGGAAGACAGTCATTGCAGTAACTACCACCTGAAAAGTAGCTACTTCCACAGAGCTTCCTTTTTTCTTTTTCCACATAAACATTCAAGCTACCAACTTTAACACTTCCATAATACAGAACCACATGATCCTAATCTTAAGGCACAAAACTCCCCATCTTTCACCAAGTCTCAGTGTTCTGCAGAACTGAAAGCCAGATTCCTTATATACTGACTTGTATTACTCTTTATATCCAAAACTGAGGTACAACAAAGCTTGCAAATTAAAGACTAAAGAAAATGAAGGTATGAAAATACATCTCAAAATCTATAGCTAATTGCCTCAACTTTTTATTGCCTTTAAAGGTAATAAAGTGTACATAATTTTCACAGCCTCAGGAAAGTTGAGTCTTATCTTTTAATAAGACAATCTTTCTGCCCTCATTTATGATCAATTACCCATATGCAGTCACAGGCTTTGGTGTGCTAGCAGTTTTTAAAATGTATATATTTGCCTCTTTCTCTTAAAATAGTCAAAATGGAACTTTTAAAACAGAACTGCTATAAAGATACATCAGGATGCTAATTTTTGTTAACACCTGACAAGATAAAATTTTATGGTTGGTTTGCTTTTAAAAAAAAGGCCTAGGGTACTCAAAGAAACTGCCGATTTACAGTCATTGGCCTATTCTTAACTCTCTCTCTTCAAGTACCTCCACAGGACATTTACTGGAAGAGCTCAAGATTGAGTTTTCAAAGCTTTTTGGGGGGCAAGGGGTAGCACTGTTGGCTTTCACAGGCAATTTCACTTTGTTAATGATCAGTTCTAGCAGTTTTTTCCTTTTAATGTTTTTGATGGAGCAAATGAATGTGTTAGTCTATAAAACTACAAATTCCTTGAACAGCTATGGGAAAAGTGAGCTGAGAGAAAAGCCAAAATCTAGCTTAAAGTTGAACAATCTAAAGGGTTCATTCCTGAGTGTGACTGTGTCACTTTCATGAGTGACAGGTGAAGCGAGCACCAGTATTTCCCAGCACAGTTTGCACCTGGGCAGGCTGGGAGCTGCTCTTCCCGAGCAGTCATCTCTCGGCTGCCATCTCCTGGGTAGGCTCCTTATAACACAGTCTGTCCCCCCTCGTCGTCCCCCCCGTTTATTTCATGCCAGTCCATCAGCTGCTGTTTTTGTAGTACACATCAGGCTGAGCTTCTCTTGAGAACAGAGAATGAAAGATCAAAATCAGGAAAGGAAACTCTTAAAATTAAGCAATGCTGGTATATGGACGTTCTGCCAGACAAAGGGATAGATCAGTGTATTCAAATGTTACCAACCAAGACATCTTTTCAGAAGGACAAATTTTCACTCTGAAGACATGCTTCCCTTCCACAAATACCCCACATCTGGCAGATCTCTGCAGGAATCACCTGATGACTCTCCAGTCTGCAGCATCTGTTCCTGGGAACATCTGTCTGCACCTGGAGCCACCACCTCTGCAGGATGCTGTGACACAGCTGAAGAGCCACAGAGGGGTGGCATCAGCCTCCCCTATAAGCCAAGGCAAGAAAACAGCTGGACTCGTCCGAGAAAGCTAGGACTGCATTGTATATTGATCTGTAGCTGCCTATCATCCTACTTGTGGACCTCACCAGAACACAAGGCAGCCCTCATACAGCAGCCTAGTCCCGCATGTGTAGAAACCAGGACATGAGCAGCCACATCTTTCCCTGACATGCAGCCAGGCACAGCTGGGATTCATCCCCTGGCCTGGAAATTTGGAAGCATTTCTGGGTCGCTCCAGACATAGCCTTAGGCAGCTATCTTAGAACAGAGTAATCTGCCCTCTTACGATAATATTGCCCTAGCAGAGAGGGTAGCCCTACAGAGGGAGCCGGAACACTGAGCTCGGAGTGTGGACTTAAAATTTCAGTGAGATACATTTTACCTCTAATTATGCACATCATCCCTCCTAGGGGCATTTCCATCTCGCTTTTAGATGCCAGCTGAAGAACCCAAAGTTACACAAGACCAATACATCATTGTTCCAGAACAAAGCAGTACTTGCCTCATGCACAGCTAGGGACACAAAATGACATTTCATTGTTTTGACCATGGCAGCGTACACACATTGTAACACTCAGCTGTGACTCAGTACAACATCTCTTCCATTCATTGTTCCTGGTCACTGTGGGGAAGTACACAATTACTCTTTCTCTTTTCTGCACTCTCCTTCCCAGCTGCATTGCTGATGGGGAAGGTGCACTTAAGGTCACCCTGGAGAAATCTTCCAGGAGACTGCAGCACTAGAGAGACACTAGTGCAACACAGGAATTGCTCCTGATCATAGGGCCCCAAGTACAATTTAAGTGTTCTAAATACCACTATTTTTCTGTATGAGAGCACAGCACCAGTATGCAAGCACTGCATAGGTTTTAGTTCATTCATAAACTACCCACTACAAGGCAAGCTAGACATTTATTTTTGTGAAGTTAATCTACTAATTAGTTGCATGGTAACAGCAAACATGAACGTGGAAAAATGAACACCAAAAATGGGAAAGTTTATGTATTGCTTTCTTCTCTAAAAACAAAAAGAATTATTTGACAGAGGAAGTGATCTGTACTCAGGATTCTGTACAACTCCTGGTAAAAATGACATTCAAATGGCAGAGGGCTCCTCTCCAACCTCCAAAGCAAAGGAAAATTCAACCTTGAACTTGCTCAGCCCTGCCTAGGTAATAGGGCCCACGTGGTTTGGAGGCTGCGTATGTGTAAGCACACAAGGAGCAGCTGCTGTCCTGCAGAGGAAGGACTCACTCACTTACCTTGAGGGAAGTGCATCAGTAAGTTAACACACACAGTTTAACCATGCTTCTGCCTGAAGTTCTATGTTTCATTGGGATTTACTTAATCCAGATACAGTAACCATCACTAAATATTAAAACTGATTGAGATCACTGGGAGAAAAAAGATCATCCCCTATTTTTCTCATTTTATTCTGTGCAGCTAGCAGCTGTTTGTAGATTTTTACTGCAGACACAATGAAATGGATTATACAGCTGAGGCTTTAGTGTTCTGTGATGTGACGATATAGAAACTTGAGCAAATAATTTTACTTTTCTTTACCTCATTTTCCTTGCTTTATATCTATCTTGTCTACATTGATAATGATGACTAGATAAAACTGCCTCTCAGCATTAGTAAAAATGCCATACACAATGGGACTTTGAACTCTTAGCATCTAAACACTATCATGGCACAGTACAGTAATATAAATAAAATGGTTTTACTCAGATGAGCAGCCCATTGTTTCCAGTGGGAGCATAGGCATACTATGTCAGTCCTTCTCTCTTTTAACTAGGTTTCAAAACAGTAACAAGAGAAAAACTGTATTAAAAACATAAATGTGAATATAAATGCATATACAAACTGCAAAAAGTTCAACAGACTCACTTTCCTTTGAAAAACTAATCTCTTTCTAGGACTTTGAATCCTAACATCTCTAAAGTCAAACTACTAAAACTAATTAAACTTATAGTTGTCTATTTGTAATAATAGCTAGCTTTTTTATTTCTGCAGCACCATACAAGTACACAGCCAAAAAAGCTTCTTCAAAATTAATCATGTCTAGACATCATTAACTAGTTACAGGTTTGTGTGTTATTGCTAATGCAAGTTTGTTGCTGGTGGAGTATTAGATCTAATTTTGAATCAAGGTCTGTCCATTTTTTTTTAATGCAATGGACTTGTAATATCAGCTGCACAGTAAAAATGTCTCTGTGAGACAGAGCTACTGGAACGTAACCAGTACTAAAAAGTTAGTAACTCTGGGGTACAGTTTGTATTTTCTTCTCTGTCTGTACCAAAATGTTTAATCTACTTCAAGTAGCTTTCATGTTACAAGAATGTCAGAATAGCATAAAGCTTGTGAATTGATTCTACAGTCATATTAAATTAAACTACTCAGGACTTTAAGATTAAGAAAAATCCAATTCGCCTGTTGTGACCTCCCATGCAGACAGTGAACACAGACTACCACTGTAAAGGCATTAAAATAGTATACATCACAGTGGACTAAACACCTTGCAACCAAAAATTTTAGGGAAGATTGTTTTAAAAACTGACTCCGTGTTAAAATGCACAAAGAGATGACTTCAAAGGAGAGTCAAGAACACTTAAAAACCCTAATTCTTACTCATTTCATTCAGTCCTAACTAAATTATTCAAATTGAAATGTCTATTACAGCCACTTAAAAACATATAGATTCTCTGTAAAAACAACTCAAAGCTAAACAAGTATGCTCATTAGGAACAGTAACATTTTATTTTTAAGAGAATACAGTTATTTTTCTGAATTTGCCCAAAAGCATTCCTTGTTTTCTTTCCAAGAATATTCGTCCTCATAAATCTCCTGCAAATATAAACAAAGAATGGGAAATATTGTGGAATTCTGCTACATACAGCCACAAGCAGGCCAAACAACTCAACAGCCATCCTGCTATTATTTACTCATCACAACAGGACTACACAGCACTTGGCTGGCAAACAGAAAAGAGGGCAGCACCCTTAGAACATACTGACTTACATGCGGGCAGATGCTGAACCTTGGGCTGAGCCCCATTAAATTTAGAAGGGCCCATCTATACTGCAGTCAATTCAAGAAAGACATCTAGAAGAAATCATGTAAAAGCTGTAGAGTACACAGCACTCATGTCTGAAGCTGCCCTTTTAAAGTGTTGCCATGTTAACCTAATGTACCATAATTTTTAGGAGAGCAGTTAAGTGTATACAAAATGTCAGTATTAAAAAATTAAAATTACAATATACAAAATACAGTAAGTATTAGATCTTCAGGACAGACTGGACTACCCAGCAGCAGTCCGGACCTAAGGAGCAAATGCAGTAGGGCTCCAAGCCCCTGACTATTCTTTCTGACACCACAGAACTCCAGTCTCCTGAAAGAGGTGTCAGAAAAGTGGAGTAATGCAGAGAACATCACTGTTACCACATGTCAAGTTCTCCCTGGGAGAGAAGGCAGAGGTAGTGCTCATTGCTTGCATGCAACACTGTGGTTATGCAATGAGGCTCTTTCTAGACCCGGGCTGGTCTCTCCACACATTGTTGTGTGCCCTTACTAGCTTTGGGACCTCTGCTCATCCCTTCATTGTGTGCTGTTGCTTAATGCTTTGTGCTTTCTCAAGGCCACAGGGATGAGGGGAAAACAGAAAGACAAGAAATGCCACTCTTACTTGCACACTGCAATGCTGTCCAAAGCAAAGCTGACTCTAAAGTTCTTCCATAAGCCTGTGCAGAACTGAGTTTTGCCACTCAAAAAAGGAGAGCTCAGGACTCCTTCACTTTGACCCCAGTATGGCGTTAAAAGGAAGAGGAGCTGGATGGTACAGGCAAGAGAGGACCTTCCAGGTGCCCTACCTGCCACAGATGGGTCTAGCTGCATTAGAGGAAACCCACTGGTGCTAGACATTGGCATCCCGTCAGGAGCAACTGCTGCCCATAATGCTTCAGCTGCTTCACTTAAGAGCAGCAACTTTATCCCAGCTGTCTAAGACTCTGGCACAGGCCTAAAATCAAATTTGTTCCCAAACGTACCTTTTTCCATATTGGGACGGATGCTTTTAAGGTATTGATGCAGTACATTACAGCTTCAAGGGATTCTGTTCTGTGTGGAGAGGAGACTGCAATAATTACACTTGCTTCAGTTATTGGAACCACACTAGGGAGAGAAGAGGAACAACAGCAGCTTTAGCTAATGGTTAATATCAAGAGCACCCAAAAGTTGTGGCCATGTCACGTCAGTATTCTGGCCACACGCTCTCCTGACTCATTCATACTGAGCAAGTGTCAAGCCATGTCCAAAAGATTATACACTTTTAAAAAGAAAGAAAACCACAACCAAAATCAGTACCAGATGTGAGAATTCCATGCTTTAGAGTAAATAAACCCAGCAGACATAGGCTTTTTTCTTCCATTCTTTCTTTTTTTTTTTTTTAAATAAAGTCTATGGAATTAAGAGGGGAAAATTGCTAATTTGCAGCAGTGCATAGGAAACTCACTGGAAGCTGGCTTAATAATGAACAGCAACAAGCTAGAACACCCAGTCCTTATCTGAAAACCTAAGAAATCATCTCAGTTTGCACAAGAATTTGTGAAAGAAGAAATTAAGCACCTCGAACTAGGCAGATTTTGCAATAAAACTTAATTTTTGACAAATTCAAATGATGAAGTTTTTCCTGTTTGGTTTTCCAAACTTAACAGAAGTAGCACAAGTGTTTTGCTCCTCACAAGGGCAGTATTCCCAAAAGCTGCCTTCCAACCCTCCCTCCACAGTAACACTCCTCTGGCAAACAGTTTATAGGAAATATCTAAGCTTAAATGCTTTGAGCTGCCCTCAAGAGAATCACACTCTCTGTTGACTATGGAGGAAATCTAAGGAAACTACCCCTCAGAGCTAATATTATCCTTTGAGATCACCTCCTAAGTTCCTTCTGCTGAGAGAAAAGGAAACAAGCATCTGCAACAGACTGCAAATGCTGCTGGTTTCAGTAAGAAATCTGGTGAAGCGTGAAGGCTCAAGAGTATGTCAGACACTAGTATTCCATGTTTTGAACCCAACAGAAAATGCTTATCCAAGACTCAAGGAACAACAGTAGGTTCTCTGACAAGTATGGCTGTCAATTACCATGCCTCTCCCCTCCCCATAGTCTAAGCTTACAGGTTCCCTATGGCATAATTTGACTTAAATCTGACAGTAAGAACATTCTGCGGCACCTCAATGGAAGAGAGAAGGAAAAATAAAGTGCTGCCAACTTCACATGTTTAAAAAAAGACAAAACAAACCAACAGCTTCCCCTTTCCTGGAATGAAATCTCAATCCCTTCTCCCCACTTTCAAACTATTACACCAGCATCAAGGATCCTGCAGGCTAAATGTGAACTCCAGCAAACAATATCAATACACACATTTTTTAAAAGACCTTAGCTCCGTAGCTAGAGCTTGATCCTGCAGCCAGCTTTGCTACATTACAGTTTGTAAAGATTCCTGCATGTCCCGCAACTATGTAAGCATAGTCAATCACCAGACAAGGATTAATATTCTACTTGCAGAAGGATGGGGCCTGGCCATACATACCCAAGTCTATGGTGCACTGCAATATGTTTGACCGATGGCCATTTCTGTCTAACATCTCTGCAGATTTTCTTTATTTCGGTCTCTGCCATTGAAGTATATGCTTCATATTCTAAGTGAATCACTTTTTTTCCTTCAAAATTATTTCTTGTAGTACCTAAACACAAATGATTTATCAACCAAAAGCACTGAATAAATAAATATGTATGTTATATATATTATACATTTATTATACAATAATATATTATACATAAATAGTGAGTAAAACCCAGGATCTCCTGCTATGGTCAACGTCAGCACTGTGCAAATACAAACAACCTCTGCTAATCATGACCATGTAAAGAGATTCTCTGAATAAGAGAAATCTTTAATATACAAGGAAGAATTTAGTTTACACATTATACAAGTCTGCAGTCTGTAATGCCAAAGGCTGGGACATCTGTGTAACTGCTAAGGTGCTATTACTGCATTTGCCCATGCAATGTTGAAGTGTTCAGTACTTAGGAGCCCAGTAGCACTATGGTTTAAGCACAAAGCAATTTTAAGATCTGTACCATGCACATTAAGCAACAGGACAGAGCTATCAGCCTTGACTTTCACCAGCCCATGGGTAAAAAAGTACTTTACTTTCAACGAAGATCTGAGTTGCAGGAGCTTTCATACAGGTGTGGATAATCCAGGTTCCATTTATTAGACTGTTAACACACCCAGAGATCCAGCTCAGAAATATTAAACTCACCAATGAACAGAGACACTGCCCCACAGTACGGTGAAATAACCAGCTCTGACACTTCATCTACAGAGAGCTTTTCAGATTTGAGCTTGATAAAATCTTTTGGCACATCTTCACTTTCATCCATAGCTCGCTACAAAAGCTGAAACCAAACAGACTCTGTTGTTGGTTTTGGTGATACTAGCATTGGCCAACTGCTTTTTATCCAGTGCTGATGCCCCACTTTATGCAGAAAACATGCACCATCTACTTCCTCACCCCAAGAGACCAGTCTCCATGGCATGCTGACTTCTCAGCAGACTTGCTGAGAGAATATTAACTGCAAATATCAAGCAATGACCTGTTTTTTAATGCATACAGGTTCCTTCCTGGTAGGAAAGTCTGGTCCAGTAGGACAAAACCAGAACTAGTCTGAGGCCCCAGTTTAACAGTACAATCAACCAGCATGGACCACTGTGCTAGTAAATCTGTGGCAAGATTGTCAGCTGCTCCTCCCTATCTTATTGTGAAATCAAACACAGTTCAAAACAGAGATTTCTGATAAACATGGATTGGGGTTCTAACCCTAAAGTTTAATATGCTCTCCAGGACCTCATACTATCAGTCTGTTTCAGTGACACAGGAGACACTTCTAATTTCCTGAGTAGAAACCAGTCATCAGTTCATCTAAGAGTGAGGAGGAAAAGTAGTATTTTGAGCAGCAGCAATGGAACAAGCTGCAGTAAATACATGGACTGGCACTTGAAACCATGCAAAGAAATGAAGCTATTCTAAGAACACCTGTTCCTTTGACAGCAACAACAACAACAACAACAACAAAAAGAGGTTTTTGTAAGCAGCAGTCAATTCTTTTCCTGTACAATCTTTTCTGTTAAAAAGTGGCAGGAGGTTTTTCATTATTATCTTATTTAGGCAAGCTGGGTATCTACTGGCAGTCAGAAACAACTATAAAAGAACAGCAAGGCCTGAAACCCAAATTCAAAACAATGCCTGACCCCTTTGGCAATTTTCTTCCATTTACTGCATATGTGTTAATCATTTATTGGTGCACCAGCTTATAGTTTCTGGTGCGCACAATGGCCCTCTCCAGCAGGAAACCCAAGTTATGCTCTCTCAAAAGAGTACCAGGGTGGAGGGAGAGAACTGCAATCACATCTCTGGACCTAAACAAAAAAAGATTATTGGAACATTATACAGAATTCATGAGATATTTTAGCACAGGATGACACTCCATATGAAGCTAAGCAAGAAGTGATACCTACCCAACAGAATCTCAGCAGATTCAGCCTCCACTAATTGGTGGGATAATGGCAACCTCGTCTCCAGGCTGCAGGACCAGGAGCTGATCTCCAAGAAGCACGTACTCCTGCCGAACAGCAAAAACCACTTGATCCCGGATGACAGCAAGCCTGAGGGGGATTGGCAGGAGCACAAATAGGTTTCTAAATAGACTGTTTGCATTTAACCATGAGATTTCATTAAACAACAAACTGGTGCGCAGTCTAGGGCAGCTGAGGTAAATACCACTGAGACTTATGCAACTCTGCTTCCAATACACTTTCAAAAATACAACAAACACCCACCTCCTACTATTGGATTTTCTTGTGGTGGCTAAGGAGAAACCAACTCAGCATAATTTTCAGAAGTCAGGAACTGTATTTGTCATAGGCCTACATGAGAACAAACCAATGTATACCAGACCCACTTCAGCAGCTTCTAACAAAGAAGGAGGCAACTCAAGAGGTAGCAACCATCCAACTTGGGATTAGAAGGAAACATTCCCCTGATTCAGTCTGGCTGGGCTGGAGCAATTTTCTTACACACAAGAAGCACTGCAGGATGCTGTTCATGACATCTTATGAAGAGTCAGTGGTCAACAAGTTGCTCTTGTTGTGTAACCTCACAGTTTATGAGGCTTTGGGTCTTTCATATCTATGGGTCTGAAATTTGCTATTGATAAGGAGTGGTGACAGAACTAAGAGGGCAGATATGGTGCATTTTCTGGCAGATCTTCTATATATTTTTTGATTCCACATCTGTGAGATGTTGCTGTGAGAGTCTACAGCTCTGGATACCGTGAGGCAGGCAGGGAGTCGCTTTCATGACTAAGTGCAATCACACAGTGAATGAGGGCAACACCAGTAAGACACCAGAAAAAGAAAACCAACATTTTACTTCAGAAGGTGCAAGCATGATAACTGTTACTGTTTGAGACTAAAAAATCTGGCACAGACAGTGGAGAGCTGTATTGCCTAGAAACAAGCAAGCACGCCAAAAGGGTACAAGTAAAAATCATCTTATTTCCTAACAGCCAGCCAGACAGAAGTAGGCAAGGCACAGGCTGAGCAAAACACAGTAGCACTGACTCAAGAGAGCAGACTGAAGGGAGGAACTGTATGAAAGCACAGCAAGCCACTGAGGAACAGAGCACAACCATAGACCTGAAGTGCCCATTAGGAAGGGCTCTAATTAATGTCACTTGCAAGTTAATTCATCGGGGAAAATGGGTGGAACAGAAGAGCATTGTCAAGTATGCTCAAGCTGCAGTCTGAATATCCATTAGCAATGTGAATAGAAGTCTGTGGTCAATGTCCTACAATTATGCTGAGTTTTTCCAGAAAAGCTAGGAGCAGAAGCATTTTCCAAGAAGGCCGCTGTGAAGTAACTGCACATGCAAAACGTACTGCCCCAAGTCACCATTCATAAAAGGACAAAGCTGATGAACTATGGCAAACCGATCAAAGGTGCTGCTGCTGCTTCTGACACTGAGTAATAGGCTGCAAAGTAAAATACACTCATTCCCTATTGCCTCCTCCCCCAAAACACACTTAGTCTCAATTTTCTGTGAGGTAAAGGCCCCTGGTCTAATAAAGAAGGGTGGTGCCTACAGGAAGACTTTGGCACCTAAGTCCAAAGTTATGGAAATTCCAGTGCATTCCACACTAAATCCTGGGGACTTCAACCTCTGTTATACCTTTTTTTTTCAAGCCCCCCTCCAAAATGGTGTTGCACCTTTCTCTATCAATCAGACTCATTCTTGACAGGACTGAGCACCTTCCCTCAGCCTTAATCTGAGGGGGAATTTCTGCTGACACCCTCAGGAGCACCAGTGCCACAGGGGTCCTTACAGCACACACCTAGCGCTCTCTCAGGACCTGCCTCCCTGTGAAATGCAACCACCAGCGCTGGCGGGTTTTTTTTCAAAGCAGAGGAGGTTGAAAGTGGCTGAGCATATTTCCTATGTAAGGGTTGAGTGGCTGGAGGCCCGTGGCAGGGCTTCTGCTCCCTTCCTGACCTGCCTTCCAGAGCGTGCCATAAGCTCCAACCAATGGCTAACAGCACAGTTAAAGAAAAGTGATCCAAAACACCTGCACGTTATCACGAACTGCTTATTTATTGCCCTGCCTGTGCTCAACCCCTCCTCGAGACATCTCACCTTCTCGGCAGGTCAATAACCCAGCTCAGTTTTGATGTGCAGCGGCGTTACCATACCGTGGCCATCCTGGACAACGGGCCACGCGTCTTAAGGCACGCCTTGCGCTCAACTTTTGGGTATGTTTATGGGACCTAGTCTTTCCAAGTGTACAGCTACAGCACTTCCAACTGGCCAAAACACAAAACGTTCGCTGCAGGTTACAAGAACAGGAGAGACGTCACAGTTTTCATGGTAGCAAAGGACTGATACTCGTTCCGGCTCGGCTGGGAACGCCCGACCTGCGTCCACCAAAACACCCCCCAGCACGTCAAGCTCTGCGCGCCTCAGCAGGCGCCTTCCCGATTACCTGGGGTGCAGCCTGACGATCTCCTCCCAGAGCTGCAGAGCCGTGATCTGCCGCGGCACCGAGAGGGTCTCGCAGCGCAGCCCCGCCAGCTCTGCGCTCCTGGCGAAATACAGCACCGAGACCTGCTCGGGGAACACACGCCCGTCAGGGGAGCGGGGCCTACTGCGAAAAACGACGCGGGGGAAAAACCCGCTACCGCACGTTACCTTCCCCGAAACGACCAAAACAAACAACCGAAACCGAACCTGCGTGAGGAAACGCTTTCCCTGGCTTTTTTTAACGCCCGCGAGCCCCTGTCGCGTCCCTCCGGACCCGGCTGTCAGAAGAAGAGCGGGGAAGAGGGGTGCTGGGAGAGCAGGGGGGGGTAGGTCAGCGCGGACCCGTGTGCCGCTCCCGCCTCGCCCACCCTGCGCCTCTGCCCGCCGAGGAGAGGGGCTGAGGGAGCCCCG